TATTAGATTTTAATATTTTTCTATCTTATTAACTTTTTCTTTTGCAACATCTAGGTACTACATACACTCTAGGCAAAGCAGTTCACACAATAGCAATGCCAATGTCACTACCTGAAGTGAAAAACAAGAGGTTGCAGTTGTAGGAAAAATGCAAGTCCCAGCATGTAGAAACCTCACGAGGGATACAAAACATGGAACATCTCTCCACCCCAAAAAAAAAACAATGTTTCCTAGGGACGTTTATCATTTATTATATCAGGTTTTATATTGCAATCTCATTTATTCTCCTCCATGGACAAATGGTTCTAAAAGTAGGTCTTCATTTTAGAGGTCACACAGTGTTTCCCCTAGGTTTACAGCGTTGGGGGGGGGGAACACGGCGACACAAACAGTTCTTGGTGTTCATGGGTTTAATGACAGCTGTCCTTTTCTATCGGAAAGGTATCCTTAAATGACTTTTTTCCCTGATTTCCGACTCTATCCACTATCCTATCTCTACAATAAAGGCAGAAAAAGCTCAAAAATAAATCTAAAAAATAATAATAATAATAATGGTAGGGGAAACACTGTCACATATTATACTCTTCAACAAGTTGAAATAAGTCTCAGAGCTCCCTAAAACATGTCTGTGAAGTTTTTGTTATAAATCCACTCTGATCCTTTATTTTAGCACGCCTAAAAACCTCTTTTTCAGCCTTGATAAGAACAGGCTGTTTCTGTGTCTGTAGCTTTAAATGCAATAGACCTGTGTCTGACCACGCCCCTCTCTGGAAGGGCTTGGTTGGCTTGGGCTTTCTTGCTCCCTGTCCTATTGTTTACAGTGAGAAGGCAGACACAGAGGGCAGAAACAAACATCTAGCTGTGGGAGTGTCAACCACCTAGGGGAGGGGTTTCTGCCCTTAGTGATGTCATGAAGGAAAAATCTCAAAATGGCCTGTTTGAGCACACATTTTTCTGAAAAGTGGAGCAGGCAACTTATAGGGAGGATGGACTTTTCTCATAATTGGGGGGTTTGTAGACAGACTAGGGGCACATTAGTGTTAGAAAAACACGGTACAGTGTATTTTGAATAATATGTGACCTTTAAGTAATTTGTTTGCAAACAGCTGTCATCGTAAAACATCTGTAAACTTTGAACTGGTGTTTTACACAGTCGTATGTGCAGCATATAAATGCTGTACATTTAAATGGCTTCCTTTAGGCTAAACTGAACCAAGATAGAAAGGTCTCCAAACACTACCTTATCATCAGTCATTTATATCTTGTAAAAGGGCTTCTGAACTGCACTTGAGTAGATTATAAATAAGAATATGGGGTTGAAGAAGATAGAAAAACTAATGTTTAGTTAACTGAGAAACTCAGTTGTTTTTTTTAGGTATACAATGGTATATAGTTCACATGATAGGCTAAATTATAAACACTTTTACCAGTTATAAAAACTGTCAAAGGATTTACCTTTTTGGTCAAAATCAGAATAACAAGAATGTGAATGTTTAAAAATAAAAAAGAACCCCTCTAAAGGGTTTCATTTTATGCATAAAAAAGCCTATGTATGTATTTATGGACAGTCAGTACTAGAAGGTTCAACCATCAACAGCAGATGCACTGCTTAATAATGCATCAGTACTGCCTGTGTTGACAGGACGTCAGTCTGATATCTGCAGACAGCCGGCTAGCTTGCATTAGTAACTTGTTGGCGACAGACTGAAGAAAGTAGTCTTCACACATTTGTGGACTTACTGCTAGACATTTCATGGTCAGCGATAAAAGCTCTTCAGCAACTAAAAGCAGAAAGCTCAGTTTTTTTGCTCGTGCATTTTGTAGATGTGAGGAGGATCCAGTTTGGCTAAGAAGTGATAGCCAGAGTCTGATAGTCAGCCTGAGTTAAATCAGCCAATTTCTGCTTTGTTTTGTACTTGAATATTTTATGTTGCACTTGTCTATGAAAACTTAGGTTGGCATGACACTTAGTTATATAAACACTGAGTTTATAAGGGAAAATATCAGTCATAGTTTTTCATCAGTTATTAGAAAATTCATGTCAAGATAAGCTGTTTTTAAAAGCTTTGAATAAATTGACCAATACAGTTGGTCTGAATAAAACAATGTGATGACCCAGCTCATCAGAGAGCTGGGTCAGCGGCGTGTCACTCGCTTAGATCGTTACAACGGGCTGTAAACGGGGGATAGAAATCACATTTTGAATGAATTGAAGTTATTTGTTCTTTTAAAAAGAGGTGTTTTCCTTCGAATCACAGTAATGACATGGAAAAATAGCCTCAGTGGTGTACTTGATTGGTCTTGATTTAAAATCCAGAGTCCGTCCAGTCTGATACTGAGACAAGAACGAGTGTGTGCTTTCAACTTCCGAGACGACACCAAGACCTTCAAAAAGTGGTCTTTAGAACAGTCTTGAGACCAAGACCGAGTACTACAGCACTAGTGTGTGTGTGTGTGTGTGTGTGTGTGTGTGTGTGTGTGTGTGTGTGAATGATTGGTTGATCTGTATTTTACTGCTGCCATTATCTGCCCAGGGACTACAGATGGAAATTAACAAAAAAGCTAAATGTGGTACAAAGCATCTTTTCTATTCCGAGACCAGTGTGATTTTGTACATTGTCCCTGATTCAAAATAAACTAATTAAATAAAAATAAAATAATAATAATTAAAAAAATAATAGAGTATGAGATTGTCCATAAAATGGAATAAATAAAAAATGTTTGTTATGAGATTATTGTTACCATAAGCTATGTATTGTTGTGGTTTTGTATGAACCACTTTTATTTGTCTTTTCATACAGAAATGTGTAACACAACTCAAACACACAAGTTTTTACTTCCTATTTATATAAAAAGTCTGTTTAGCTGTTTGAAGTCTAAATCCAAAGTGCTGATCGTTTTAATAATCTTCTGAATAACATTTGATCAAATGGCCATATCTCCCACTTCACAAGTTAGAGGATGTTACATTTCCAGCCCTCCCACTTGCAGCTGCTGTTTCTATTTGTAATACCACTTTTATTCCACCATGCAGTTTCACCATTAATGATGTTATGTGTCTGCTGTGAGGCTCGCTGAATGAAAAGAGTTTCATGTTATAGTTCAATCAAAGCGGGATGCTGTAAGTGACACTGGTGGAGGCTGGAGCAGCATGTCGCCCCAGTCTCTCTCTGTCAACTCAAGCAAGCACATAATGCCCTTTATAGATAAAAGCCATCTCTAAATATAGTGTGTGACCATTTGGACGGCAGACACATGTGCTTGATCAATAAGTATTTCAAGGACACAGTGTGAGACGCCATCAGACAAATAGCCTCAACCTCAGAGAAGGGACTGCTTTTCTTTAATTAAAAAAAAAAAAGCTTAAAAAAAGTTCACACTGGCAATATCTTTAAAATTGTGGAAAAAAGAAAACTTCAACACTAATTACATTTTAGAGCAGAGAACTGAACAACCACACATCCACATGTTTCCTCTGCTAGCACAATCTTTTATTTATCACCCTGTTCTCCCTGCAGATCCATCTGTTCCATTACAGTTCTCCCCTCCTGCTCCTGATTGACTACCTGCCATCCCATGTAAGGTAAAATGAGTTTGCTTGTATACTGCACATGACCACCGGGGTTGGCAGTGCTGATATCCAGGACAGCATCCTGACCTGGAGTGTGATATTGCTTTTAGACAACAGTTATACAAGCAGAAAGTAGAAAAGTAGAAGTAAATCGTAAATATCAACAACGGAATCATTTTTAACTAGCTCCACAATTTAACCAAGACTAGACTGCTGCCAAGCAACCCAAACCTTCTATTCTACTGAACTCTTGCTACTCAGTTCGTGTCCATGGTAACGATACAGCATCGATACTTTATACTATGAACCTTTACTCGCATATTAAAGGAAATGTATCTTCTCGTGAAACCAGTGAAGTTAGAGTATATTGTGTGATTCTGAGGTATGAGATTGATGAATACAGACAATGTCAGCTGTAAAAGTCAATTAGTATTCAAATCTCCTGGCTGAGGAGGAGTGATGCATGTTGTGAAGAGTCCCAGTGATGTTGTTCTCCTATATCGTCACTCATAGAAGGCCTCCTGTCCAATCAGAGAGTTCTTACAAATTCATTCGATACCAAAGACTGTCATGTTTATAAAAAGTTTTTAATGACTGAAAAACACTCATAATACACCCTCTGTTCATTCTCTGTCGGCCCCTAAGTGTCCCTTAAATCACTAATGATAAAACTTTAAAGCCCAAAAACGTGATAATCTGAAGAGCTCACATTATATCCGCTGTGCACCCTGTCAGAAATACAGTTTATATCACTCAAATGTGCTGGAGCCCTGCTGTCCTCAACAAAGACACTTCAGGTTTCTAATGTGTGCCTCCCGTGACTATCGATTCTCCAAAAGCTCGTAAGTTTAGGGTCATTTGTGGAGAGACGCCCCATGCTGCCCGTCCACTGAAGTGAACCACAACAGTGCACAGCAGAGGAGATGGCTGCCATGGGTCAGCACTAACATGGGGGGCACTAATGTGGGCAGCAGTGACGGAACAGAGCCTTCCTTCCTCGCTCTGCAGGGACTCTGCAGCCTGCCACGTGTCTGTTAGATACCTGCCCAACCTGCCTGCTCCAGCTGTGCTCCAGCAGTGCCAGAATAGAGAAGTGAGCATCTGAGTGAATTTTTAAAACGTGGTCTGCCGCAAAATCAAAGCACAATACTAAACTTAAAGCTATAAAAAGTAGCAGCGAGTATAGACGAGTATGTTGTTTTTGTACGTTTACTTATTTTTTTGGCGCATTCATTTCTTTGATTGATTAGATGAAGAGGGACAGGAACTGTAAATAGGAGAAAGTGGGGTAGACGTGCATCAAAGGGCCGAGGCCGGGAGTGGAACCTGCCACTTATGCGACAAGGACCAGCATGAAAAATGTACCATCACCTATTTGGGTGATCTCAATCTAAAACTGATCTGAAGGGCCAAATAGATTTTTCCTTACTTTCTGGCATGATGTGATGCATGGCAACAGACAGAAAGAAGATGGCGTCGCTGTAATAAGCGCCAGAGCCGGAGCTGAAGTGCTTCTGCATGGCCTCCACGATGGGGAACAGTTTCTGTGTGAGAGCCTCCACATCATGGAACAGCACCTGCAAGTTCAACACAGAGGAATCAGGATATGAAAGCAGTGTTCAACTGAGGTTTAGTTTAGAAATAGAACAACTTCTACTGATCAGGTGTGAGACTATTTGTTGAGGTCATTCAAGATCCTCATTAACCTATTGTTATATAGCTTGTATGTGTGTTTCTCTCAACCTAAAGTCTACATGCCAGTCTGGATTTTATCAAACTGTCCTAAGAGTGAGTTAGGCCCCGTGCCCACCTAGCTTTATTTTCTAAGGGCCAGTGTCTTTCACAATTATTTGCAATGAGGAGAGAGCGTTTGTGGCAGCTAGTGGCCGTTTGGAGAAAAAAAAAAGCGCAGCGCCCAGCATCCTTTTTCCCAAGTGCTCCACCTTTTTGTGCGGCCGCTCCGAGCGCTCAAGTTGATAATATTTCAACTTTTCAGAAAGGTGCTGTTGACATCATGGGCACTCTTTTCCAAATGTATGATGTGAAGAGGATTCTTTTAATATTTTAAGCACTGATTATCATTAAAGTGTTCGTGTGGGAAGAAAAATAAATATAACAGATTAGAATTGACAGCATTTCCTGAGGAGAAGCATTTTTAGGTTTACCTTGGTATCAGTCAATGTGTATGTTTAAGGCTTTAGATTAAACCTTTACTATTCGGGCCGCATTATTATAAATCAGCCTCACGTGCATCGAAGGGCAAACATGATTTACTGATCCTGGCAGATAAAGGTAAGTCCTCAGGCGTTTATGGAAATCAGTGCCATTTTGGACTCTTTGTAATGTGGTGTAATGGTACGCTGCTCTCGGTAGAGTAACTTGTGTTGCTAAAGCTCCGATAAATATCTGCAAGGGAGAAAATTCAAACCATAGAGTGCCCATTTGTTTGGCTAAAGATATGGGGGGAAAACTCTTACTGTATATCCTCAGTCAGTCAGTTTCATATTTCTTTAAATCTGGATGAAAAGTTAGAAAATGACAGAACACCTAGAAAATCAACCCTGCATATAATGTTTAAATGTGACATAGAAACAGTCACATTAACACACATTTCCACAGTCCACCAAATCAGAACTCATTTGTGTTTTCATTTTCCATGACAATGCTGAAGTTCCAAACTTAAAGGTGTTCTCACTGCAGGAGTTCGAAAATCCTTTCTGATTTTGAATTCGGGTAGCATCACACACATAAGGAGAATCCTAACAGATATTCTTTTCCATAATCTCAAAACATGCTCACAGTACAAGATGTGAAAATCTTGGCACATCACATCATACAGGATTTCATTAAGATTATCGTGCCAGAGGAACGCACCACCTCACATGACCTCGCGTAAACAATGGAGTTTAATTTGTGCTTTGTGCAGAGAGGACCAAACGTAAAAAAAAAAAAAACTTGTAACTGTCAGATTCAGTATAGCTGTCCGACCTGTGCAGTTTGCGTCCTGCCGCTGGTCGCCCCTACTGTCCACTTGTTACTTTCCTCCCTTGCTTCCCGTGGTGGCGTCCCGGACGATCGCCGAGCAGATCTGTGATGTTAAGATTGGATCTTTAAACCACTAACACTACAAGATAATCTGGTAAAATAATCAGTTCGGAGCAGCCTTGAGCCGGGAACGACCCCGCGATTGTCGTGAAGGAGGAATCGGACCTCAAATCGGCCTGATCATCCTGCAGTGTAAGCCAGGCTTGTATGACTGCAGTGCATTCACTCATGTAGCCTTCACAACAACGCCATCTATCAAATATTTATATCTGTGCAGTGTAAAGCCTTATTTCAATTACATTGATCTTTTAATAGAACATTAATTGCTCAGGATGCATTTCTTTATAAAAGGGAGCCAGAACAATGGGAGCTCAGCCATCTTGAAAACTGAGCTCTGCTGTTTAAATGTTCCATCAAAGATTTAAGTTTCCTTTCACCTTTATCAGAGTGCTATTCATTACACATACAGTATGTTGGTGTTCCTTATCAATAGGAAGCTTTGAAGGGATTGTCCTGGATATTTGTGGGCATTTACATGGATAACAGCTTTAAATAAAAGCTCATGATGACAGATAACTGCTAGAAAACGTATTGGTCCTCCTGTGTGTCATGAGGGAGCGACAAACGAAGCATTTGACTGGACAGAAAATATTGCTGTAAGTGCAGGTCTAATCATTTAAATATGTGTATAGTTTCAGGGAAATTGCAACTCTAAATATCAATTGAATTACCAACTGAACTACTTCTTTTACTTTTTGTGGATACAGACTCCGGCATATAGATGATACTCATATGTAGTAGTGTGAAATAAATAAAATCAATTGTTAACTTGAGGGGCAACTTTTTGGCATTGAATGTATTGTTTTTAAATGCCGGTAATAAGCATTTCCTAATGGTAAATGGACTTGAGCTTATATAGCGCTTTTCTAGTCTTCCGACTACTCAAAGTGCTTTAACACCGCCTGTCACACCCACCCATTCACACACTGATGGTAGTGATCGCTATGTAGTATCATCAGAAGTAACTAATCCCATTCATACACTGCCAATGAAACAGCGGGAGCAATTCAGGGTTAAGTGTATTGCCCAAGAACACATCGGACATGTTGCTCAGCTGGGGATCGAACCCTCGACGTTCCAGTTGAGAGGCGACGACTCTACCAACTGAGCTACAGCCGCCCTAATCAACACCATGTATTGCTTGCGAGACGACTAACTGACTTAAACACCTGCCTAATCCTAGGTCACATGTCCATAAAGATGGGATAATAGTACCACTTCCTTAATGAAAACGTTTGGTTCAGGATGGCAGACATTGCCTCCTGATATCCTTCTTTATACTGGAGCCTACTTGCACTTCCTGGTTACAGGATACTCTAAACTACACAGTCCTGGGTAATCAGCCAATAAGAACTGAAGTAAGGTTGTGAAAGTTATGCATCTTTGGAACGCTGAATCTCTTTTCTGCACAACAAATGAAAGTTTTTAGGTACTAATAAAGAAACCTTGAACCTTAAAGGCTTTATATGTGATTTCTTTTGATCCAGCAGATGTCGCCCTTGAGCACCAGCATGAAACCAAAACAACTCGCCGTGCATTGTTGTGTTAGCGATCTTTATCATGCTCATATCACATAACACTGCATGTAAATTTACCCGAAATGAGCGTGATCTAGAAACGCAGTTAAGCAGTGAGTACAGTATGTTATTCTTCTCTAGTCCCGCAATTAAACAACTTTTATACGTGAGGGGAGGAGTCAGCCGGCCGTCCCGACGATGTCAACAAACTGAAGATAGGACTCGGAAAACTCGGAAAGCATCACAGACAGCGGGACTCGTGTGTTACACCTACTGTAGACAGTCATGACTCACAGAGTTATTTTCAGAGGATATACTTGATTTCTATTATATTTAAGTGTGAAAAATCGCATATAAATCCTTTAAAGTTGGTCAAATAAAAAGATGATGATATAATTTGGATCAATTGGAATTCTATAAAAGTGAAACGTTTCATGAAGTAATGTGTTGAGTGCAGGACTCCAGCATGTTGTGTCATAAGGACTGTGTGAATGTCGGTTAGCAGGAAAGAGTACAGCCACCAGGCGGTGTGACTCTACAGGCTGTTTGTTGAATTGACCTCTGTTGGGAAGCCATGCATGCAGAAGTTCTTGCATAACTGTGTGGTCGTACCCTCATGCTCTTTTAAAATAAATAATTCAAAAAGAATGACACTTGAGATGAGCAGACAAGGATGTCTACATGCTCATAAACATGCTTCTGTTCACTCACTGTCCCCTCTGGGACATTGCCTAAGCTTCTGTGTTTGTGTGCAGAGAGGAGACAGAGGATGTACTTGTGTGAGTGGGTGCAGAACATTATTTAGTGATTTATTATCCTATGATGTCTGATTATCATGGTATAAAGCACTGGTCTGGAAAACACCATGCAAATGCTAAAACCACTGGGTGAGTGGGCGGGCAGCTTGAAAGTGAGAGCACTGTTGGAGCATGTCAATATGAACATACAGCAATGAACATAATGTAGTGTACTAGAAATAAAAATAAATGGTAAGCTGGACCAATACGAACCAACTTGAGCCGCAAAGTTAAATCTATATTAACCTTTTTTTATTTGTTTGAGTCTTGACTGATATAGATAGATAGATAGATAAATAGATAGATACTTTATTGATGGGAAATGACATGAAACATTACAAATTAAACCGCAAAACCGACGCCCCCTCCCATACATATATATATTAACCCGAAAAAAGATTTAAAGAATACCCCTAGATGAATCAAACTTAAACTGTGCAATTCAAAAATAGATTTATACAAGAAATGTACATAACCCGTGCAGGGATAAAAAATATATGTGCAATTTAAAGCAAGAACCTATAAACAGTCGAGGGAAAAAATCTGTAATTAGACCTAAATATATAGATTTTTTTTTTTTTGTGTGTTGACCTTCTGAAGTTGTGATATGATATGTTGCCATCAAAACATTTGATGCCAACCAAGTAGCAGTAATAGAGACTGCCTTTATTTAAAGGTTATGGGGGCATTTACTTCCTTATTTAAAAGGGGACGGTTAATGAATAACAGGAAATGAGGTGAGACAAAGGTGCAACTACAATCAAAAAAAATCCTCAGACTTTACATGCTGTTAACATAAGGAACTGAATATTAAATGATATTTGAAGGTGATGGTTTTTTCAGAGAAAATCCCAATGTGTTTTTTTTTTAAACACTCCTTGTTTTCTTCTTCCATCTTTGTAATTCACAGCATCTGACACAGAGCCCGACTCCAACTGCGCTCATCACACTACTTTGAGAACTCAAGGGAAAACTTTTGGAAAGGAGGATCGTCTGTTTGTATCATGCTGCACGCAGAACTCGTCCTGCGTACACTGCTCGGTACAGCGGTTGATTCACGCTCTGTGACGGACATGCTAGTTCGTTTACATGACGTCAACAAGGGGTGGGCTCGGGGGAAAATTCACACGCTGGATGTAGGCCGCCAACGTAATTACAAGTTGTAAACCGCATCAGGATCCTGGAGATGTATTTCTCGACTGGCTGAACAGGACAGATGCTCTTCTGAAATATAATGAGTGCATATAAACTACATAAAATCTATAAATTCATTATTTTGTGCCTTTCTTTTAGAGTGGCGGGAGGTCACACATGAATGGCAGGGAAAGCACTGCTGGGAATAGGCTGACATTAAACTTTATAGGAAGGATCATCTCTACAGGCCAGTTTGTGTTATATTTCCAAGAAAGACACTTGGCCTGGTCCTCTAACATAATGGTGACACAACAGATCCTTTATATTGGTTTAGCAGGTGTAACTGCACTTTGCCATCACTGTACACTAACCTCTTCCTGTATTATTTTGTGACACACACTTCACCTGTACTGCTGCAAGTCTTCGAGCTCAGTCTCATGGTATAATCAGGCCGCAAAATGACTAAAACCTCAAAAACTGCCAAGAAGCCAAACTGAGCCAAACCCTAAACAAATCCAACGCAGAGCAGGGATCAGTCTGCGCTAACACAGGGAAATCACATGCACATTTGATTTTGTGGAGGATGAGACACTCCTATGAAAAAGGGCCAAGCTGGTGAGGAGGATTTGTAAGCATAAGAAATGTTCAACCATTTTTGTTTGTATTTTTCCATTGTGATAATTCAAAAGGAGGCGAAATAGGGCAGCACATTGCATGCTACAGAAAGAGCAACAGAGAGGGGACATAATCCTCTGTTTTGGCAGAGAGAAGGGGGGGGGATATCCCCATTGCTAAGGAATTACTTTGGTTGGGCAACAGTGCCACCTTGTGTTTGACATTATAATCTAGAGCCTATTTTTCTCTTGTAGGATGTCTGCTTTTCTCTTGAAGCTTTGGATTTCCCTGATAATATCTCAAACTAAAATGTTCGAGGTTTGTTTGCAGTACATTAAAAAAAAGTTGGTTAAATTGCTAATAGGTCTCACATTATTCATCTCATGTCCTTTAAGAACTGTCCTCTTCTCCTCATAATCAAATACACACACATGCACAACAGCACCCACATCCAACAAGAAAGACAAAATCTCTGATGCATGTCCCTTTGGATAAAAGTGTTTGCTAAATAATTGAAGAATTGTAGAACATGCCATTTAAAAATGGTGGATTTTTACTCCTAAACTGACCGCTTTTGTGTAAAACTGTAGTCATGAGTTAACTTGTGAATGCTCCTCTGCGTCTGTATCTGTGTGAGCAATAACTAAATGAATGCTCATTCTGTAAAAACGATTGACTTTGTACTGGTCCTTCAGACACAGACGTTCATTTACATATGAACAAACAACAATAAACCTCGTAGTTTCATAGACCGACCCCTCTGGGGCTGTTTTTTATTTTTTTAAGATTTATTTTTGGGCTTTTTGTGCCTCAATTGGAGAGATAGGACAGTGGATAGAGTTGGAAATCAGGGAGAGAGAGAGAGAGTGGGGAATGACATGCAGGAAAGGAGCCACAGGTTGGATTTGAACCTGTGCCGCTCGCTTGGAAGACTATCGCCTCCATACATGGGGCGCGAGCACTAACCACTGCGCCACCAGCGCCCCCCTCTGGTGCTGTTTGACTACAAAGATCGACTATTACTTCCATTTAATTTAACGTTTGTGTTTAACACTCCATTTCTGGTCAGTCATGACTTCTAAGGTTTGGATTTTGGTTTTGCAGACTAATGAAGATCTTAAGAATACAAACAATCATGTAATCATTTATAAAACATATAAATAATGATAATCATATCAACCTGTGGGTCACAGTCCTGATTATTTATAGTCTGTTATATTCCTTTGAGCTTGTTGAGACTGAGGTCATGGAGGACGGGTTACTGGAAAAGATAAGTGACAGACTTGACAAGCCGTTCCTTCAGTGATCCTGAAACTTCTTTTCACGATGCCTCATCACTGAACATTTTGTTCAACTATGTCTCAATTATTACAGTATGCAGGCTCATTTAAAGAAGCCAGAGTTTTACATTGTTATTGACACACTAAGAATTCAAAAAGCATTGGATTATTTCAAGTAGAAGAAATAGATCATTTGGGGGCGCAGACATGGCCTAGCGGGTAGGTCGCGCTTTATGTACAAAGGCTATAGTCCTTCAAGCGGGTGACCGCGTTCAAGTCCGACCTGTGGCTCCTTTCCTGCATGTGATTCCCAGCTCTCTCTCCCCCTGGTCCTGACTCTATCCAATGTCCTATCGAATAAAGCCCCTCAACAAAAAATATATTTTTTAACTCATTTAAAAAAGATGAAATACTTTCTGAATCGTTGTTTTTTCGGCTCTTAGTAATTAAAAACATACTATGAAATACTATCCCACCATGTCGATGTAATGACGACCAAACTCTGCTGATATCAATGCACATCAAAGAGAACTATACTGAAAAAGAAACCAACATAAAGACAGGATTTGTCATCCTACCTCATACTTAAATGTTGCATCAAGGAGAAGTTCTTGCAGCATCTTTTCTCCCAGATCTCTGCTGGCCGGGTCACTCACAAAATGAAGGACCAACACCTCTCCTTCCATGAAGCGTGCCAGCTTAACCATAGACAGCATGGCCACCCTGAATTTGTCCTGCAGGCTGCGGCTCTTGTCCACCTTGGTGAACATCATGAGTGCGTGATAGTGTTGGTCAACAGCTCCACTGTCCCCTCTCCTCGACATAAACCCCTCGCTCTCTCCCCCTAAGTCGTGCTCTACCCCTCCTTGCTCCTCAGATCCAGCTGGGTGCGGGAGCCTGGTGTCCACAGTCAGGTCTGCATCATTTCTGTTGGTGTTGTGACTGGCCTGGCTCTGCTTGATCCTCTTTGTGGTGCTAGAGAAGTTCTGTCTCTCTGAGCCAAAGTAGTAAAAAGCAACGACGGCCAGCGCGGCAGCCAGGAGCAGCACGAACTGATACGACCTGAAGGTGCTGATCCTACCCATGATTCTGGCTATCAGTCTTAAGATGCCCATATCTCATGCTTGTGTCATGAGAATGTGGACGTACATGTGGATCCATTCGTCATTGTGTGTCATCCAGTTGTGTGTTTGTTTTCATAACTTGAAAACTCTTTCCTGTAAGAGAAAGAAAATGATTGTAGTGCAGCGCTGTCCAAACAGGGATAATGTGAAGGTTAAAAAACTGGAATCAATGCACCATTTTACTACTTTAATGACAAATTTAAGTATAAGTGAAATGTATTCAGCCATGAGTTTCAGCAACAAAAAAAAAGGTAGATGAAGCAATTGCTTGCTTTGATTAAACTGAAACTGATAATCTGTTACATCTTTTTAACGCCTTCCAATTTTAAAAAAAAATCTGGTTTTGGATGCATGGCTGGACCGCTGTTAACTGAAATTACAATTTGAAAGCCGCCCTGCATAAATGCCTGTGCTATAGTTCCTGACAATTACCAATGAGAATGATTACTTCTTTCTTTACACCTTGCTGCTATAATACTGTCATCTTCTAAACTTAGCAATTAAAACACAAATACATCTGTTGTGTTTTTTTATTAAATTCATTTGATGCTTCATATACTGACATTTATTTCACAAGCCTCTTTATTTTCCTTTTAAATCAAATTAAGATCTTTCACTTGTGGAAAATTAATAATCTCAGTAAAAAAACAAACAAACAAAAAAAAACACTAACATCTCCTTAAATTGAAAGTGCTAAAAATAATTAAGTATTCTGAATGTCCTATTTCAAAAGTTGTGTTAAAAATCTAAGGATTATTGTTAATGATCAATTTGCAGCCTCACGATAATACATCAAAAGGTGTAAGTTGGTATGTTTGTAATATTAATAGAAATCTGCAGAAAAGTTTACAAATGACGTGAAGCAAATAGTTATCTCTGCAATGTTTCACTTGAAATACAACAGTCTGGTCTGCGAATTGAATCAAGTGCAGCACAGGCACATAAGAAAGGTGTTTGAGTTGTTAATGTAGACACAGTGTTGTGTCATGTTGTGAAACTCAAACAGGTGGGATGTCTGGTGTCTCAGCTCTGCAGGCAGTACATTCAAAACATGTCGTGCCACGGTTTCGCTTCTTCTTCTTTTTTTTAACACAACAATGCTGTCAAACCGTCTTTAAAACAAGCACATTTAAACGTATTGACCCATTACAGAAACACTTGCCTGTGTCATGTCGATGATCTCTGCAGTCCCATCTTGACTGAGGTTCCGAGGATAATTCAGAGCTGAGTTTAAACTTTGTGAAGCATCTAAACTAACTACATCTCTTACCTTGATGTTACTTTGAAATACAATTAAACCGTGGCTTCACCACAGCCACGTTTAATTAAAAGTATCTACCGGCACATCGACTTGTTGACATACCGACTCGCAGCGAGGATGCTACGTTAGCAAGCAACGACTTTGCGCCTTGATGTGGGTCGTTGAGTTGCCCCCCCCCTCCCTGACGCTGTTTGTTAAACCCATGCAAAAAAAGTAAGCTTAAAATGACCGATGCATGTTTGCAAACATTTCTCGCTCTAAAAGTATCACAGTGTTTGCATGTCCTTGTTACATCGAGGGGAATCGCGACCAATAGACTATTTGGCAAAATCAGCAGCTAGCAGCCTAGCAACAAAAATACTGTGACACAACCAAGTTAGCCACACCCACTTTCAGCCATGCTGCCTTTAGGGACCGGTAGATAATGGCAACCCTTTCCAAAATATCGTTCAGTTCGTTCACTATGATGACTTAATTTTCAACTTCTTTTATAGCATAGATTACAGTGGTTAATTCAAATTAAAAACGTTAAACGAAAAATAAGTTAAAACCAATAAAGATATTTAAAATATTAACAAGTCAACCAAAGGACAAACAGGGTTGCGGATTTAAAAAGTGTGACATTCTTGGCCCTATATTGGTTCTATATATTGGTAAATTTTGAATTATTAAGCCACGTCTTGCAATTTGGTAGGCTATAGTTTAGTGGCATTTGACTTGGCTATTTACATGTTATGGTTATTAATGTATTTCAAAGGGAAAACGGTGTGCATCTTTCCTCCTCCACATTTCACAGCTTTTAAGTTGCTTTCCTGGTTAATATTTTACAGGAGTAAAATAATGTGATACTATAGCTAGCTATTCCAGCAGATTTCACATTGATTTCACAACCAGATGTTGTTGAAAATAAGAAATACAAAGCGTTGTTATACAAGTGTGTATTTAATTCTTTAAAAATACATTTGAAGTCTATCAGCCTGTATCCCAGCGTTTTTTCCTCAAAATATCAATAAAATCAATAATAATAATAATAATAATAATGATAATAATAATAATGATAATAACTTTATTTATATAGCACCTTTTAAAAACACAGGTTTACAAAGTGCTTTGACAAACAAGAACAAAGCAAACTAAAGCAAACACAGAAGAACATTAACAACAGCAAGAACATAACAAATGCAAAATACTAAAAAATAATTAAATACAATTCAACAGAAAAGAACCCAAAGATACCAACAGACATATATATATATAACCCGACCATCACAAGAACCATTATAAGAACCCAGGCAACAAGAGCTGAGACCAAGAGGACCAAAGATTTAAAAAGATGTAAGAAACTAAAAGAGCTAAAAGAACATAAGAAGATAACAGCAATAAGAAGGTAAGAGCAGTAAAAGAAATAGAAGCAAGTGGTTAAAGGATCAAAAAACCCAAAACCATAATATTAATAAAAATAAAAAGTAAATATAAATCAACAAAAAAATCAACATCAGCAACCTGTTATCAGACAGGCTACATATAACATATAACAGCTCTTTAATAAAAGTAAAACAACCTGACATTTTATTTTCTAGACGAGAACGGGTTGGATCGTCAAATTTACTAACTGCACTTGAAAGCAGCATCCCTGCCTCGCGACATTTTCAGCAGCGGTATTGTTGCTGTCGACTCGCGGTCGTTGTCGTTTTCGTCCGCAGCACATATTTACTACCTTCTCTCGAAAGGGAAAGATGCTCTCCTCTGCATTCGCCTAATGGTTTTTTTTTCCTATTAAAGATTATCGGAACCCTCTTTTTTGTATTAAATTCAGGCGCGTTGCTGGCGTAAAGCTAGCTAGCTTGATTAGCAGTCGCGAAAAATGAATTCCAACACGCACGTCATCCAGGTGACAAATGTCTCCCCGAGCACAACGTCCGAGCAAATGAGGACATTGTTTGGATTCCTTGGAAACATAGAAGAGCTCAAGCTGTTTCCACCTGAGTGAGTATTGTGAAATAAAAAACGTTTCCTATCTAGTTAAAGCAGCACTCCTGTCTAGGCCTGTAGTGTCGAGTAGGCCTCACTACATGCTAATGCTAATGTTCGCCCGCGCCAAGTGAACGCAGACGCGGTCACGCCCCTCGACGTCACTCCCCTCGACGTCACCGCAGAAAACACGCGGAATTTATTTTAATGTTTTTCTCTACGTATGAATGATTCAGCACAGATTTGTGTCGACGCCGGGATATAGTTGAACTCTTAACTTTGAACGTGATGATAGTGAACGAATCGGCAATAAATTGAATATTCGTCCGTGGATTGAATCAGAATATAAGTAAAATAATTATATAAAATGAAACTAAAACTTTTTATTTCATGCTTTTTAACTGCATCATGTGTTTTCTCCTCCTGTTTGAATTTTTTTTTTTTAAATTGAGACGTAAAATCATGCCTTAATTTTTTTAAACCTCATTTTAAATGGAATATATATATATATATATATATATATATATGTATTTTTTTTCATTTTCGAGATTAATGTCGTTACGTTTATTGTCGTAAATTGTCGTAAGGTCAAATGATTGACGATTTAAAAAAAAAATGGCAACCTTAGATTTGTCATCCACAGCATTTTCTTGGTGTATTAAATGCTGTCTACAAATAGTAAACATATCAAAGCAATGGCTCCCTGTTGGGTAACCCCTGGGTTCCCTGTAGCACACGTGGGATGTTGTTACACATCAAGTAATTTGATAATGAGCACAGTAGGAAATAATTGTTCTCTGCTTTGTATTTTCCTCAACTGAAATACACCTGGCTTCTGAGCAGGTAGGAAATGTGAAGACTGCAACAACAACCACAACCTAGTAACTATTTAATCACAATTTCAATCCCAGGCAACAAGTAGTAAAACATTAAGTTTCAAAGCATGACTGATTGAGAGTGTTCTTTTAATCTCAAGAACCTGTCAATAAAAACTGGAAAAACATTAACATTATATTCTTGGATAACTTGTAAGTCCAAATGGAGGGTAAAACATCATAGACTGGACAAGATACTGTATCATAATCCTCTTTTAACTCAGTTGTCCCTGGGGACAAAAAACTAGTAATTTTGAAGAAGGCATGTTGGGTCTCTTGTTTGTATTCTTTGCACAACATGTCTGTATTTTTTTCCAGTGACTCTCCCTTGCCTGTGACTTCACGTGTCTGTTTTGTAAAGTTCCATGAGTCTGAGTCGGTGGGAGTATCCCAACACCTGACGAACACCGTCTTCGTGGACAGAGCTTTGATTGTGGTCCCTTTTGCTGAAGGTGGGTATCTGTTTTATCTTTGTCGCTGTCTGATGACTATCTCTGAACATACATCTCATTGTCTAGATTATTTAAATCAAAATGCCAATGTGAGCCATTGTGAGTTTTTTCAGACCAAGCAATATTAGCTAAGCTTTTCAGTGCTTGGCAGTTCTAGGTATGTAAAAGGGAAAATGTACATTTGTGTCCATGTCTTAAAATCTAGCTGTAAACCTCTCTCTCTGTTATTTGTGTTGTGGTTTTCATAGTGGACAAGTCATTTGCAGAGAGCCCCTTCCTTGCTGGCTGAAAGTGGTCCTCTGCTGCCATCAGAAAAAAAATATGGCACCAGGCTCGCAAGCCCCACTTCTCTTGTTCTGCAGTAAAATATTAACTCTTTATTTTTTTTCTCTCTGTTCAAGGCATCATTTCTTTACAAAAAAAGTAGCCACACAACTCTTAAGCCAAATACAGGGGGTTGGGAAGAGGGTGCAGGGTGCAGTCCTTACATGTTTAAAGGACTTAAATAATTTTTAAAATAAAAATGTATGCTGATTAGTAGCCACACCCAGCTAGGGATGCCCCGAGCAGATCTGCTCAAGACTGAGCAATTATTATTTATTTATTTATGGTAAATCAATTAGTATCCACTCCAAATTGAGCAACTTCTGATCTTCTGTTTATATTTTTGAACTCTGGGTGCACCAGTTCTGAAAGTATTCCGTTATGCCTGAAACATTTAATGCATTTCTATTCATGATATCGACACTAATGGCATGCATTAAAGAGAGACAATGCAGCTTTTTCTTTTTTTAGAACTTTTGCATATCTCCTATACCTCTTGAACTTGTACTGTTTATGTTTCATAGCAAATAGGTGGATCATTTTGCTCCACAACAGGTCAACACTGAGGTTCATTTGGATTTTTGGATTTTGTGCATCAGTGTAGGACACCATTAAAGACCCTGCACATACACACTGGTGTTTTCAGTTAGTGGCTGATTAAATGTATTTTTAGGTTCAAACAGGATGGGATTCTGTGGGAGTTTTCTTACACCAACAAACTCCAGTTGTAAGTTTCCCCTCCTTATCAGGTGCTTCAGGTAGCAGAATTAAGCACAGTCTTGCCGGTCCGCAAGTTTCTCAGGAGAAGTGTAATCAGCCAAGTAAGTGAAAACACTGGCACAGGTGTAATGTGGCTGTTTGGGTTCTCTGTTTATTTTATGCGGAGCTGTTCAGTAAACATACCCCAAATTCATACTTATTATCAAGTCTAATGTTGGCATGAAGAATGATTTGCGTAACTTGCATCTCAAAGGAAAATATAAATATAAGATTAGAGCTCAGATCCAGAAGATACCTGTTCGGGACATCCCAACACCAAGCACAAAGCATGCAGGATACAAGAACTAATCGGCTGTGCATGCTAGAGTAGACGTGGAGGTGTGTGCCATCATCTACAGTTTCACTAAGCAGATGTGTTGAAAGTTAATTAGCATATAATTTGGCTATTAGCACCTAAACTGACTTTGGCTTTGACCTGCTTCATGTGCCAAAGCCTTGTTTCATTTTACACTGTGCATCTGTAATTCCAAATTGTCACTAACACACAAGAGATAATGTAGTTTTAAGCCTCTGCTTGATGTTGCAGTAAAATATGCTTTTATTGACCCTCTCCACACATGACTCTGAAAGAGTTGAGTGACTCTCACGTTTAACAGTGGTGTTTCTTTTGTTGTTGTGTTTTACAGTTCTTTTTCCTGGTTCAGCCAGCCCTATATACCAGGCCCTGCTGAAAATGCCACCAACAGTTTTGTCTTCTGCAGCCTTATCCTGTTTCTCAAGTGTCCTTTCTGTTGTGTGTGTGTGTGTGTGTGTGTGTGTGTGTGTGTTTGCGCGCGCACGCATGTGTGTGTGTCTCTCTCTCCCTCTCTCTCTCCCCCTTTTTTTAAAATGTAAAAAATGAGATTACATAATTAGCCTGTTTTCAGATTGCACAGCCATGGAAGATCATCTCTATAAGATTTTCCCTTTGATTATACTGTTTGGTTTTCCTTCAGCTTTGGGCACATTTTTATTGTATTATCACAGCTTTTGCTTGCAATAGCATTAACATGTCTAGTTCAGTTTATCTTTGACATTGTTTAGTGTTTTAAACTCTAGCAATACAGTAGCTTCTTAGCTGTACCTATTTCTGGTTGCAAAGTAAGTTATTTGTTTTTTTTGTGGTGGGATTGTACACGGTAACCACCGACAATAGCCCAGAAAAGGTAATATGACCAAACCTTTTCTGTTTACTTTTTGTATTGGTAATGGTAAGTGATGTTGAAATGTACCATTGTGTCTACACCCAAATCATGAACTTGTTTTCTGTATCTCAATGTTTTTGTGTGCTTTATAGCGAAGCAGCCGGCGCGAGTCGCTTGTTCATAAAACATCTAATGAAAGTTGAGAGCACATCCCACGGGACAACTGGCTGTGCTTGCTTACGTTTGGTTCATGACTTAAAAAACAAGTACAGGTGATAAAATCTTGGCAGTGTTGACCACAGTGTGTATTGTGACTTTTAAACTCATAGATGCTAATCCTACAATCAATCATACTTACACAAAAAAAAAAGTCAGGGATCAAGATTTACAGACAAGACAAACAGTGGATTTTTGACTATTTTTTTTTTTTTTACTTCAGAGTAGTAAGACTGAGGTGGCTTGTCTGCAAGTCTTGTCTGAGTGTTGATCAATGTTTGCTCGGGGTTTGTACTGAAATGTTGTCTCTCTCCAGGAGTCATTCCTGATGAATCTAAAGCTATGTCCCTGCTGGCTCCAGCCAATGCCGTGGCAGGAATGATGCCTGGGGGAGGCCTTCTTCCAACACCCAATCCTCTTGCAACAGTGAGTTTTATACCATGGCCGTATCCGAATTGCCAAGTACATACTCAATCTTTCAGTAGGCAGTACGTACGATCTGTGCTGCATACTGTTAGTACCTACTATTCAGTAGCGCACACAGTAGGCAGATATTTGTGCCTACTTCGTCTGATTCATTCAGTATGAAAGTGACGTCATTTACGTTTCCCGAACCGGCTGCATTCACCGTTTTTTTTTTTTTTTTTTTTTCGTTTCTTTGTTTAGCTTTATTCAAGAAGAGTAATGCACATATACAGTCAGATAAACAAAAAACAATATCACAATGTAAATCAAGTAAAAGACAGATTAAATAACTAAATAACATACAGTACATAAAGGAAAGTACAAATGAAAGACAGTAATATACAGAATATAAAATAAACCAATAAAGATGCATTTAAATAGTGAAATCATTATTTAAATAGAGGGGGAAAGGTTTTATAATAATGCAGACATCTGTTATATTTTCTGTTGTTAATTAAAAGTAGTGATTTCAGTCGGGACTTTAACTCTAGATTAAAAATTAATCCACGCTCGTTTGTTTTGATTTGGAGGCACACGTGACGTGATGATTTACGTTTAATTTCGCACAGCATTGTGGGTGGTAAAATACAATTCATTTCCTGAACGCACGCATCCGATCCATACTGCATAAAACCCAGAAGTTAGTATCCGTTCTGAAAAGTTCAGCATACTGAGGTGGACCCAATAAATCCATACTGAATGACCACGAAAGTTCAGTATACTGAAACTCCATACTGAATAGTACGTACTGCATACTGAACTGTGACTATTCGGAAAGGGCCCGTGTCTCCCTGAGAGTTCAGTTTCAGTGATGATGCTTTATACACATCATGTGTACAATTAATACACTATTATTATTGATGAATTATAATACATCAATAAATACATTAAGGTAAGATTCAGGCTTGCATTACCTGAATACCTGAAAAATATTTTCTACACTAGCTCTGCAGAGTATCCTGAATGTTTGTGTCTGTTACTCCAGATGGGAGGGACACCGTTCGGAGGTCTTGGAGCTCCAAACATGGAGCAAATGGCTGCCATGGGAATGCAAGGACCTAACATGAATCCCCAGGTGAGCACTTAACCAGTCATTTTCAGAATCAAGACGGTTAATAATTGACAAATTGTAATAGTAATTAAACTTGTCTGTCTTATATTTTAAGGCTCTTTCTGCAGACTTCCTGAAGCTCATGCAGTCCATGGACCCCAAGTAAGAAACATTACACACTTGGATTCATGTTTTCCATCCAGTGAGCCTCATGGTGTGGTTTTTTTGTTGTTGTAGAAAACTCTAAATAATTAATTGCACTTGCAGACTGAATCCATTAGCGGCCGGACTGAACTTGAATCCAGGGATGAAGAATGATGCTTCCAATAAGGAGATTGAAGAGGCCATGAAGAGAGTCAGAGAGGCCCAATCTCTCATTTCTGCAGCTATTGAACCAGGAAGTGAGTTCTCTTGTTTTTTTCTCTATCAGTACAGCATGCACAGTCTGCTATGCTGCTTCAGTATAATGTTCTCGATGTAGACCAGAGACTTTTAGTTTTTATAGATCATTGTGATGACTGTAAACTGTAATTTCCCCTTTTTCATTTTTCTGGAATATTTGTTCCCCTATAGGATCATTCAGTATTTTGTACCTCCATTGAGATTAACTGTATGTCATTGTTTTTTGCAGACAAGAAAGATGACAAACGGAAACATTCCCGCTCCAGGTCAAGGTCACGGCGCAGGCGGACTAGATCTCGCTCAAGACACAGGTAAAGACTCCAACCAGACAATTTCTCTTGTGGGCTAGACATAAACGACGTGATCAGAGAATAATGGCCCTTGGTGTCTACACAAACGGAAATCAGCATTTGTTTTATTTTACAATGTTCTGCTTCTTGATTTGGCAGACGATCAAAGAGCAGGTCTCGGCGGAGGTCCCATTCTAGGAGTAGGAGGAGGTCAAAGAGTCCACGAAGGAGGAGGTCCCACTCCCGGGAAAGAGGCCGCCGCAGCAGATCAAGGTTAATCAACCACATGTTAACTACTGAATTTGAGGTGTAGTTCGGGCTGTTTTTCTGTCTCGGAAGCTGTTGTTTTGGATTTTTTGTTGATAAAACAAAGTTTCCTTATTTGTTCTACTTTGGGTTTCTGCTTGCTAATGTTGTTGATCCTTGTGTAATTTTTAGGGACAGGAGAAAGGAGGAAAAGTCTAAAAAGAGGTCTAAGACACCCCCCAAGAGCTACAGCAGCGCCAGGAGGTCTCGAAGCATTAATCGGTAAGTGTATTCATAACAGTAAATGGCAGCAGTCCATGTTTAGTCAAAAATGACTGCAGTTACAAACGTTTGTATTAGTATTTCTGATTTCTTTATAACTTTGTGTCCCAGAAGGCACAGGCGAAGCCGCACTGCATCTCGATCCCCTAAGAGGAGGGTGTCCAGGTCTCCATCACCCAGGCGGTAGTTGTCGGATGTATTTACACTCAATTAATGAGATACATTTGAAATTGGAAACTAAAAAAATGTCTTCTTTTTTTTTTTGCAGACATAAGAAGGAGAAAAAGAAGGACAAGGAACGTGAAAAGGACCGGGACAGAGAAAGGAGGGAGGACAGGGACCGGAGCCGAGATGAAAGAGAACGCTCCACTAGTAAGAAGAAGAAAAGCAAAGACAAGGAACGAGACCGGGACCGCAAATCAGATAGTGAGAAAGGAGATGTTAAGGTATGTTTGAAACTTAAAATTTTCTATTTAAAGTATTGGTTTTCTTTCATATCGACTTCTTCACTGGATTTATATCCATGATCTTTTGTACATTTGTTGTCATCATTATTACTATTATTATTTTGAGAAAGGCAGGCAAAGATACTTTTGTTGTATCTATATTTTTTTCATATCCCAAGTTAAATTTTTTGGAGGAAAATAAGGCCATAAATGCCCAAACCATTCTTGTGAAGTTCTTGTATTAATACAATTTAGAGCTATATATCTGAAGGTGTATTTCCATGATTCTATGATCAATTGGTCATCATTTATAAGCATGCAAGAGTTCATGGTTATAGACATAGGCGTCAGACCTCCACAGAAAGGAACATATTGGTGTACGGGAACGATGTCGCTGAATATGTCCAGGAAAACAATCTCTAGAAACGAGTGGGAACCCATAAGTTGTAACATGCAGTTATGTTTGTGAAAATTAACATTTACAACATATGCCTTTTTTGTTAACACTAGCAAATTGTCTCATTAGGTGACTCGCGATTATGATGAAGAGGAGCAAGGTTACGACAGCGAAAAAGAAGTGGAGGAGGATGATGACGAGAGGAAGAGCGACTCTGATTCTGCCTCATCCCCAAAAGGCCAGGAAGAGATGGAGAGATCTGAGGGACAAATCCCCAAAAAGTCCAAGCTGAATGGAGACGATCACCATCAGGAAGATATGGAAATGAGCGACTAAGAACATCCTGAATCTGATTGTGTTATCCTCCCACTGTCCCCTTTTTTATATTTTTAATATAGGTCACATGTCTGTGCCTGATCTCAAGAAGTATAAAAGATGTGTTGTCTTAAATGTATAAGCATTTGGGGTGTTTGTAGAAGGAAGAAACTCAAATTTTGTATAAATAAAAAATAGACTAAGATTTGGTTAACATGAGACGTGGTTTTAAATTGTCAGTACTGTACTTTTTTAAGACCCTTATTATTTTTGTTGCCTTTGTGTTCAAACTTCGTCCACCTACTGTAGAAAATACACAGAATTATTCAGTAAAATGTTGTCTCTAAATATTTTACAAGTCAACACTGAGTCCTTTCCTTCCTCAGGCTCTAAGTAACTCTTCACCCAGCACCAACTTTGTGTCAAGTTTTTGGTTCGGCTGAATTTTTGCTTTAAGTGCAACACATCCGGTCCTGTTCAGCAGGCCTTCCTATTTACACCCCTATGTAAGTGTACAATGTAGATTGAAACGTGTTGTTGCAATGAAATACTTTGTCTGCATTAGGTTTTCTGAAGGAGACTAATAAAAAAAAATGGTGAAAATGTCAGCTTGTGTTATTTAAAGAGATTTGAAACAAATACTTGGGCAATATTGTGTTTCGTTGTCACTTCCTGGAGTCTACACCAGTTGCCTGGCAACCACACAGGGAAAGGCAAGTTGCTTTGACCTTAGTGTGAATTCTAACAAACATACTGTTACTTTTTATTAATAAGCATGACAGTATGGGCTGGTAGAGGCAAGTTGGTTACCATTGTACAAAGTGTTGAAGCTGAGTCGTCGCTTTAGCTAAACATCCAAGTGACTTGTAATGGAAATGTTCTCATTGGTAAGATAACTCCCGGCAGAAAGCAAGTGAAAATCATTTAGCTTTAGGATTTTCTTGCGGCAAGTTGAACAATCGTGCAGAACAAATGGTTAGATATGTTGAATTCACACTCATACTAAATAAGGTAATAAATGAACATGAACCTTTAAGCTCTCATGTCTGTATGAGCCAAGGTGATTATTTGAAAGTGCCAGAGTAGGGAAGTTAGCCAAAACATACAATGTTTTTATTAACATCAGAAAGAGCTGATGAACTGTAGCAGCAGCAGCAGTTATACAACCTTCCTTTCAAGGCCCTCTGAAAAGATAGCACCACCACCACAGCCAAAGCTAACTGTATCATGTCTAGAACCTCACCAGCATTATGTGATGACCTATGACCCATTAAAGCCCGAAAAGACTGCACATTTCTGTTTCTTTCTACAAGGTTAAGTATAGAGAAGTATTCACTTTTCTCTAGCATAATGACAAATGTAGTAAAAGAGTTCACTATATTATGAATATATGATGTTGGTTGTTATTATTAATGCATAAATAAGCAATTGCTTTCTATGAAATATGAAATAAAATAGAGGCTGTAAAGTGAATTATCTCATGAATTTGAAATCTTTATCACTGTCTATCACATAGCCAGTCCTTTGGCTGGAACAAATGGAAAACACATTCAAGATGTGTGTAGCTTGAAATCAAGGCAAAAAAAGACAAATAAATCAGGTTACTCATCTGATATACGGTTCAGGAATTAGCACATCAATTGATTGTAAGCACAGGGCAGGGCCGGACCTCAATTCAATGACCTCTGGATGTCCTTTTTCAATGGGGTCGCTTTCAGTTTTCAAACAATCACATGGTTCCATACTGGTGGTTGTAATGAACATACAATGTCTAATGATTGTTCAGGAAAGAGGTCATGGTAAAGGTAAGGTGACCAGTCCACTGAGCTATGGTCCTGCTCTCTTTTTAGGGGTATGTTAGGAGTTTATGATTTACCTTAGTATTGCATTTCTGTAAGGAGGACACAATGAATGATGTCAGTAATCAAACAGGTTATTTGACTGTTTCGGCACGGGACGGAATCATACCAGTTGGTCATCTTCAACACATAGGGCATTCACAAAATTTCAACTGAGCTAATAGTCCGGCTCTATTTTGAAGGTTTTGATTGGATTAGAATTGATTGAAGAATAGCATAATTGTAGGTACAACTAAATTAACTTCATTAGAATCAGTTGTTTGTTTAATTCCCTTCTTTTAATGCTGAAAATTATTGTGGATCATCTCACCTTTTACTAAAAACATTATATAGTTCCTTTGGCTACTGGGTTGTCAGTTCAACCTTTCCCCCACTATGACACCAATGCTTGCAGCCTCCAGTGACTTTTTTTTTTTTGCTGTTCTCTCTGTTGCTCTGTTGAAAAGATGGATTGCTTTGTTCATCTGATGTTGGTTCATAAACTTGAACCTGTTTAGTGAAATGAATAAACGACAGCAGAATGAAGAGATTATTTCTTTAAAACATTACAAGTATGTACAAAAGAAGAACTGCCAACATGTTAAAAACAACAAACCCTTGAATTAAAGTAATCGGACATTACATTTAAAAAAAAAAAAAAATCCATACGTTTCCTCTTGCAGAAGACATATTAATATCAGCAGCACAAAAAAGAAAAAAGAAAAGACAACGTAAAAGACAAAGCTGTATGTACATATTGTGTGGGAAGGGGAGGGGGGTTAGTTCTCATCATGTGTAGAAATGGAGAGAATGTACTTAGTTTACAATCCCCAGGTTTGTTCTTTAAACCTGATTTTACAGTTTGTAACATCGTTTACAAAGATTGTTTTGTTGTGCCAGAAACAAAAGGTGTAGATGTCTCAACATATTATGCTTGCTTCCACTAAAAAAAAATGAAACTGTTGTACCGTACATTTTGCAACGTTTCCGGCAATGTCTTTATTAAACCAGTATAATTCAGATGCAAGTTTAAGGGCTGACTATCACTAAATCAATGTCTGTACACTCAGCTGAATGAAGAGTGGCTGAAACAGATCTAGTGTCCAAAAGTTCAGTGATACTACTCCATGCCCATAAAAGTCAGTGTCACACACACACACACACACACACACACACACACACACACACACACACACACACACACACACACACACACACACACACACACACACACACACACACACACACACACACACACACACACACACACACACACACACACACACACACACACACTCGCAGCATAAGTGGAATTCTGCAAATACAGATTTTTAGGTTTTTAATCTACAAATTTCATAAAACCAGGAATTCAGTTTTGTGAATTCTAGATCATATTTATCAGGATAGCTTTGGAAATGTATCTAAAGTTGTTCATGAAAAGGAATTGAGTGTCAAAAACACTGCAATTGTCTCTCCTACACACCTGTCCTACAAGTGTAAGTTAGTTTATATACAAATCATTATCTCATTGATCTCAAGTCGAATACCACAAAACTAAAACAGAATTGTGAAAATTCTATTTAAGGGGAGAAAAATAACCTAAAAAGTCATTTTTGGTGGAATTCCTCCCGAGTGTGTCACACAGTCACATCAGTGCTTTACAACAGGTCAGTTAGAACACATTCCCTTATAAACATTACTGAGAGTTTAACACATAGCATCAACTGAACTGGCTGTCTGTCTTTCTCTTCTACCCCACATACAGCTGACACTCGTTTGATCTTCAATGCCCTTTCACTGATGAGACGTACTGACTCTCAGCTCAAAGATATTTGCACTTCCTGCCTCGGCTTCTTGATTGAAAAAAATTTGAAGTGAGATAAAAGAATCTTCAAGTGTACCCTTCAAAACGCTTAATGCGTGTGAGGAGATGTTGACCCCTTCTGTCACGGCAAGCCTCTATCCGCTCTGATGAAGGCTTTTTTTTTGATCTCTTTTGTGAAACTGTGTTCATCTTGGTGCCCTTTTTGTCGAGGGCTGACAACATAGTAGCTGCTTTTTCTGTCCACTTTTTGTGTTGTAAATCCAAAAGTGTTTTATAGCATAAAATTGCCTCGATGTCAGTTTGTTTCCTTCTCCAGGTTCAGAGGTTAAAGGTCAGGGAAGCGGCTGGGGTCTTCCTTATATTCATTGGGAATGGTAAAGATGGACTGATCAAACTCATCGTAGCGAAACTCCTGAAAAGTCACCGTGGCTGTGATTGTAGGAAAGACAGGGATGTCTGCAGGAAGAGCATGAGCAGAATTACAAATGACATCTTTAGACTTGTACGAGGGCATGCTTTGAAAGTGACTGTGTTTGATTTTTGCAGCATTTTAAATGAGTAGGAGCAAATATTAAATTCCCTTTCAACATCTCCTTTAGTTTAGCTGATCATATATTTATTTTCTACCAATCAACCTTGCAGTGTTTGGTTCTTCATAAAAGATATATACATCAACTTACCGAGTTTGACTGGAAAGCCAGGGGGGAGCTTCATCTGGACAAACTCCCTGAGTTTATTAAAGTGCTTGAATGGTGCAACGACCTCGAGAACGTTCAATAACCTGAAGGAGAACAAGGAACACAGGGTGACAGGTTAACTACTGACGGCTAACAAATGAACCCATGGCTGAAATGCAAATAAATGAGCACTTTTTGAAACTTTTGATATTTGTGTTACATTAAATGATTTCAATAAAACGACTAACACATTCTTCTACTAATATAAACACAAATCAATAACTGTAGACTTCACAGGAAAGAACTGTAACACATTGCAAACAAGCAAAAAGAAGTTTATTTTATGTAAAGGAAATCATCAGTTCCAATAAACAAAACTTAAAATAAATCACTTCCCTTTTAATCCACCACTTGCACACGCCAGCAGGAAAGAACTAGAGGGCATTTTGGCAGCGACCTTTTTAAAAACAGTTTGAATGCCAAGTTAAAGAGAACACTCACGATTCAATGCCCAGAGGGAAGTCTTGACTCATGGCTATCGTGGCTTTAAAGTTTTTCTTGCTCTCCTTACAAACCAGCTCTCTGCCTAGATGAGGTGCTCTGTGGGGAGAGAGAATCATCAGACTGTTAGAAGAGCTTGAGGACGTTTTGCAGAAATCTGCCATTTGTCATATTTGACCAATTTAAATCATGTACGGTATTTATGAGTCCTAATATTTTATTGTCATTAAAGTAACACAATCTAATGTCTGTCATGTTTCCTCTTGACAGTTACCCAACAAGACCTCAAAGTGTGAGATTTAACATTTCGAGACGCACATTTCAGCAGACACAGGTTTCTTACAAATCTGCATCGACTGTAGTCTACAATGTATAATAAAATAACATAAAATAAATAACTAAAGGAGCCAGTAGCCTATTGGCTATCGTGATCGCCCCATGTACAGAGGCTGTGGTACTCAAAGCGGGCGGCCCTGGTTCAAATCCGACCTGGTGCTCCTTTCCTGCATATCATTCCCCACTCACTCTTTAAAAAAAATCCAAACAAACTACATAAATAAATAACTATACTTTAATCATCTGTAATCTTTATAAATTATGATTACTATTTATTACAAGTTGACTTCTGGCTTTTTGGGAGGTATAATAAAATAGAGGTTTGTTTAAAAGGAGAAGTTTCTTCACTCAGAAATATATGTCTATGATGTCAGTTACATTATTTTCCTTGGTGGTCTGGTTCGACTTGTGAAATTCTCAAATTGAGGTGGTCAGAGATGAAGGTACCTACTTTCCATTGTCAGCAGTGATGTATTCTTCCCAGGATATAGTGTTGGGAGAAGGGGCAGTTAAAGACTGCCGCCGCACTGGCTGTGGAGCAAAGAGACAGAGACAAAGGTTGGACCTTAGACTTATCTTTTAAACGATGTGACTTTATGGTACAGACAAAAATGTAAGTAGAAGGAAACTCTTGCGCTTCAGCTGCTCCGCAAATGAGAGTCAGTGCTCTCAGAGAAGGACCTAACACGTTCAAATTATAAATCAATGGACTCCGTCTCTCAGGGAGAATTCAAAGAAAGTCCTGGAGCACATGAATCATTTAAACCTCATGTTTTTGGGGCGCAAAGGAGTAACATTTTCGAGGCACTGCGTCTTCCTCAGAGTCAACCCTTGACAAAAAGTGAATTTGGCACTGATGGAAAAAACTAAAACTGATGAGTCTTTTAACAGAGAATAGTCTAACATTAAGCTTAACCCATCTTTGTTCCAAATGTGCAGTGACATGCACAGCCCTGGCCAGTAGAGGGCCCCACTACATCTATATATAGCTGGTTAGATAAAACCTAAAAGTCAATTTGGGGATAACAGGTGGATATCAACTTGAGCTGTAGCCTCCATATATCTCATGTACCCTCAGCTCAACATGAATGTTTGCTTTTCAGACTCAGGCTTTTTTTAACTGTTGCAGGAAAATCACTATATTCAGAATTAAAAGCAGGCCCAATGTTACTCGGCTTTACAGAAAAGATTACTTTCCAGTTATTAAAACGTGTGGTTGATGGAACTAAAGACAAATTATGTTAATTCTCCCGAAAAACAAAACCTTCCTTTCCTTATTCCTTCTCTTGGTGTTTTGGAGGGAAGACGATGATATCAAATCATCTAAACCTCCTCAGGAAAATGACTCAGCTTGGTCTTCCCGACTGAGCTGTGGAGTTCTCCTTCAGCGACAGTTTATTTTAGGATGCGACAGTCTGTTCTCACAGAGCCTGAACTGGGATGAGCTATTTCCTGTTCCTCCTAAAATGGACTTTCTCCTAAAATGAACCTGCTGTTCTTGCCAGTTTGTTGCAAGCTATGGTTAAATTAAATAAGATAACTAGGGCAGAATAATGGGGATGAATGGCGCGGCTGATGGGACACCTGACTTTGCCAAGAGTCGGCTGTTTGTAGTGCGAATAAAAACGGAGACAAAATCTTCATCCCCACTAGCACAGCAGTCATGACAGAAGTGTTTTGGAGTTTTCACTGTGGGCTTTGGTCTTATTAAGAGCTCTCTTTCACACAGTGTGTATTGGCTCTGGCGTGTTGTTGTGACGAGGACAGAGTACACACAGCCTGCCGAGGCACCGATGTGCTGGTATGTCGGTCCTGCCCCTCCATCATTCCATGGCACCAGGGGTTTTAGCCTTCATCCATTTGATCAATAGTGTCAAGCTCTTTCTGAAATCCTCCCCTGCGCTTCCCCTGTGTCCACAGGCACAAAGCTGACCTGCCTGCCTTGCTGTGGTAAACACAGCTACGTCACTGCAGCTGCTTATTTTCCTCTCACTGCCTACCCTCTAGGGTGGGAGGAGAAACTATTTCCACATCAACACCCTCAAAACACAGCCGGTTCACTTTCACCATGAGTGGGCACTGATTCAAACAAGTGTAAATAGACTGACAGACAACAGAGGACACTGTGATGACACAAGGCCCAGCGCAGAACAAGGGGGGAGTCTACATAAAAACATCTATTGAGTGTTGAGAGGCATTGTCTTTGCTGTGCAGCTGGCTTTCTGTTCAATGTTTAGACAAAGGCTTAGAAAGCAAACTCTGGAATATACTGTGCTTAGGGGATGGTGAGTGTGAGAGTCATCCCTGTGAATTAAGTGCAGCTGTGTAGCTTTCACCACTAGGCAGCAGTGCAGGGACTGATATCCATGCATGGTGGATGAAGGGTGGGGTTGAGCTGTCTCACAATAAACAGTGTCAGGGAGCTGGTGGTTCTGCCTCCATGTCAATACCAAGTAAAATATCAAAGTGACAACATGGGGGAGTCAGATAGGAACTTTCCCACACAAAAAAAAAAAACATGCAGATTTGAGTGACAGAGTCTGACAGGAAGTCCATGCTGGCTCTACAGGATCTATCTTTGATAGATAAGGCAGTGGGAACTGTGAGGTTGATTTAGTCTGAGACTCATGTCCTACCCCAAGGTTCCAGCGGGACAGGACAGTTTCAGGACTGGACTGGTGGTTACGCTGCAGGTGTAAGTAAACATAATGTTCATCCACATTTTGGTACTTAACCTTACTTTTTTCTGTTTAAGTTAAAAACTATAAATGAGCATTTTTGTTTTTTTTTGTTTTCAGCAACACAATACTTACCATCCTTTATTCTACTGTATGCTGAGAAAACATCCAAACACTCATTTGAAAACCTGAATGTCTTTCACTATCTGTAACAGGAAACGGCCTGATTGAACCTGTACAAAAGCAAACAGGACGGGATATGCTGATATGTACCTATCTCACTCACACCAGGAGGACCTTAACTGCGGTACAAGAAACATTTTAGGCAACTAGAGCTGTACTGAAAAAAAAGTTCCTTCTCTACATGCATGTTGTACTTTCTGATGGCTAATGGACTATCTGGTCCAAGTTGGTAGGACTGAATGCCACTGATTGATCAAACACACATGCTGTAGGAAGTGCAACTCAGGAACTGCTTCATCATATTACAAGAAATAACCAAATGCCACTGGTATGACTATTGAAGACGAGGGACAGACTTTGATATTAAACATAGGAAGGGTATTTTTTGTTCCTAGTTTTAGTTTGTCTGCTTCCAAAGTTCATGACACAATTTGGTGAGAAAGGGCTCTATTTTCAGTACATGACGTGAACATCATTGAAGTACAGATTGTAAGCAGAATCTGACACATACAGGAGGCATTGCAGGAGAATATGATGGTTTCAGCATGGAAGCAGGATGTTTGGGGATGTGTGCTGCATGTGGCCCCTTGAATTACATCTTAGGTAATGACTGAGGGGGCTGTTAATTTGATTCTCTGGTGAAATAGCCTCCTTTCTACTCCCATCACACTACCCAAATGACAAGTGATAATCGGCCATATTTGATTCCTGACTCACCTCAAAATTCTGCTCTATGAGATTCCCTCCCTTGCTCAGGCTCTCCATGATGGCTTTGTTCCTCAGGATGTCCTCCTCGCTCAGATGCTCCCGCCTCTTCCTGGACTCCAGCACCAGGCCATTCACAGAGTAGAAATCAGCCAGAAAGTTCCCCACACGCTCCTGGAGAGAGGAAAACGTTAGATAAGACAACATCTTCCCTTGTGTGGGGAAAGGAGCGAGATGACAACAAGTCATACCAAATTAACTAATTCAATGAACTATGAGCCTATCGCCTATGGTTCCATTTTGGGGAAACCAAAAAAACCTGACGCTTCTCTGATTTATTCAGATTTATAAGTTATGGCCAAAAACACATGAAGAAGAGTTTAAAAAAAGAAAAATAAGTTTCTAGATCTGTTAATAGTAATGTGAAAGGAGTAGAGAGATTCATGTTTTGGTTCTTTTAAACACATCCAGCAAAATATCAGAGAACTGCCAAGTATTTAAAATATTTCATCACTTTTGTTTTTAAAATCAGAAAAGTTAAGAATGTGTCAACAGTCTTTGTTCCTTCCAGATCAAACACATATTATCTTTAGAAAGCAGTGACAGTGGGGATAATAATTATGATGATAACAACAAATCAACTACAACCACTGACACCCACCGTCTTGTCTTCTCTGAACAGCCAGCCGGTCTGCGCCCTGGAGAAGGTGATGGACTTAGTGGAGAGCGTGGCAGAATACACATCGCTGCTCATCAAAATATCCACTTCCTCCTCTGTTCCATCTCTGACTCCTGAACACACACACAGACAGTATTAGGAAACCAACAGACGCATCAACACAGCAGTAGAAACTCAGTGAAAGGATTTATCTATTCATGAGAATTCTAAAAAATGTAACTAACTTTTTGAACGCACTCAGACACGAGTCAGGAGAGAAGAGAAGACAAAAAGGCACGTAATGGAGTTTTTAACAGCAAACAGCATAGATGGAATTTTAGTACCGGGGGAAAAAAAGGAGATGTGCGAAATTGTGGTGTGTGATAAGTTTTCTGTTTAATATTTCTAGTTACATATATACTGTATATATATATATTTTATAGGAGATGTACAACGTGGGGTTAGGATCACACATCTAGCTTACTACTGATAAAACTGAGAAGAGCAAAAACTGCTCATCTGTTATTCTCTTCAACCAAAAGTTTTATGATGCAGAAGAATGATTAAGTAAAAAAACATATTCAAATATTCGTAATCTAAAAATATTCTTAAATCCTTTTCAAGGCAAAAAAAAAAAACACAACAGAAAGTGTGCCAGTTTTGACCTTTAATATGTGAGCAAATGCTGCTTTGATCTGTTCAAGCTCATTTAACACATTTGACCTTTAACCTGTGCGTTGGTCTATACAAGGCACCTGGACATATTGAGTATAACTCTGAGAAATAATGGTGCCAATTTTCTCTATTTCCTGACGTGTTTTTTTTTTTTTCAAACAATGAATCAACAAAGTACTTGGTAGATGATTTTGAGATGAAAGAATCGTCTGTTGGTTGTGATGCACACTGCAGACTTCAGGAGGTGCAAGTGAGTCTGTAGTCTGTAAGTCTGATGTCAGTGTCTCGCTCACCTCATGGTGTATCCGCTGGTAGACCTTCTGCTCGTTGTCCAGCACAACGAAGGACTCGGAGGGGATGGCGTTACCGTTGAAGATGAAACTGAGGTCGCCACGCTGACACTTCATATCTGAGAAGTCTATTAAGGTAGTGTCCAATCTGTACAAAAACAGACGCACAAAGATGCCCATACTGAGATTAGGTTTATTGTGGGAAATTAGACAGTTGAAAAAGGGAGACAGCAGGAAAAGGGAAATAGTATGACAGCAATAGAGCTTCATCCAGTTTAACACTGGCCAAATGCAAGACACTTGCACACATAGGCGGTAGGGAAAATAGTGTGATGGACATTGCACATTTGCTCTGAAAGTTTACACACAATGTTTATGGTAATCATTGCCATGGGAGACCAACCGTGCGGTTCAAGATTCCCCCCCCCCCCCCAACTCTGATAAAGTTTGTAGTCCTGGAACGAGGCATGACAGCAAAGAGAATCACTGATGTTTCTTGTGAAGACCAGACACAAAGTGGTAGGTGCTGTGGGTAGGTGTGACAGGCCTGACACACTGTAGCACATGAATGTAAATGAACTTTGCTGTGACAGTGTTTCTTTCTTTCATTCCCTCTCTCTGTCTGTATCTCTTTCCCTTTTTTTTCCTTCCCTGAAACTCCAGGATAATAAGAGGGCATTTTGAATACCAAATTAGACAGCCTGGAGCAGTTTTAGAGAATAATGAATAGCTCCACATCAAGGATATCTCATCCAGGAACAATACGCAGAGACACAAACACACCCTTGCCTGCACTCACTTCTGTCTTCAGTTGAAGGTATTATGTTATCATACCCAAATATAGATGAATCTGTGTGTGCTAAGGTCTGCTCTTGTTTATCGCACATGTACCCTGTTATAAGTCTAAAATCAATGTGTTAATGTGTGCATATGCCCCAGTAGTGAGCGCCTCGTGTTAATTTATCCCCACAAGCGAGTCAACGCGCTGCCTATCCACTGTTGTGTCAGCCTTCGTGAGAGGTCACCGATTTCTGCTGATGCCCTTTGTAAGCAGGGGAAGAAGCAGAATACACTACTGTAAATGTCCTTCAACAACGCTCTGATTTAAATAGAAACACAGAAGTAAAAGATCGGTGCTCAGAGGTATCGCTCATACTGCCAGGCACTAATTTCACACCCTAGTTAACCAAGGAGGAGGATAGGAAGATACAGAGAGCAGATAGAGGAGAGGTTGTTATGCAGGGAAAGATGGCATATTAATAAGAATGCGTTAAAAGTGCCATGCTAGAAGAATTTTTTTTTTCTTTTTTTAGGGAATGATATTGCTGTAAAACTGCCTTTTTTCTTTCTTTGTCTCAAGAAATCACACATTCACATTTGTGGACAGGACTTGCCTGATGTTGATGCCCTGCTTGTAGATCTTACACGCGTCTGAAGGCAGGATTCTGGAGAGCAAAGGCACTGCAACATGAAAAGGTACAGTTAGAATATGTGAAACAACAGCTAAATTTAGAAAGTACACTCAATAATGAAAATCACCATCGTCTTTTAAGCCACGGAGGCATGTAGCTCTATAGACTAGAATTGGCCTATAAAGTGTAGTCCTGCAGGCAGCTACATCTTTAATAGCTCACCAGGTTCAATCACACTAAGATAGAATAGAAAAATCCCCTGCTGTTGCTTTTGCACAAAGATGTATTTTCCCTCCCTCTGACGATATGATATCCGTGTGTGTGTTGGTTTGAAACATATTCTACTCCAAGTAGAGAACTCTTTGGCTCTCTAACCTAAAACAAATGAAAACATTTTGCCAACTGTTGCCACATCAAAGCCTTTTGCATCTTCACAATTTCCATTTACTATTATGCAACTGCTTTACATTTCTCTTCTATCATGCCTTTATTGCATAACCTTGCCCACCTTGTCAATAATTTACAAACACACAGTGAGTTCAGCTGGTGCACACTCTGGGGCCAGACTTGTGCAGACTAACCAAAAGCTGCTTCACCAGTCAGTAAATACATGTAATCTACTGTTACCCACTATGTGTCCTCTGTAACAGTCCACCAGGACATATCTGCAATGAACTAATGCAGATATTGCTTACATTTCTTACTCATAAAAACAGACAGATTAGGAGAAGATGTGTAGGAGAAGTAGGAGTTTGTTTTTATCCTGTGCTCAATGTGAGTCAAGGTCCCTTTGTGCAGAGATCAGCGTGCTCTTACCAGACAGACAGTGATACATTCCATCATATTTTCCAGCCTGTAACACCTTGACTTTTGTTGGAGTTTCAGACTAAATTCTAGTCCATTTACAGGAACGATAATGACTATGAAACAATGTTTTCCATAGTAAGAGAGCAGGAGATGATGCTTGACTCACCCCAGCTTTGGAAGTCCCAGTGAAGCTCTAAGTAGAAGTCTCCAAGCTGCAAATGACAAACACACAACATTTCAATCTGAGGTTAAAAACAATTAGGATGAAGACACGGGGCTATTTGTTCTGTAGCTGGCTTTTATCTGCAGATAAGCTATGCTAAAGCTTTATTAATTTTACAAACTTGAAGAAGAGAAATCCAGATTATTTAGCAAAGCTTCTCCGCTTGCAGAGGAGGCTTGACTGCCTGATTATCCTGTGAGGTGTCTGGAAGGCACCAACAGACTTTTGTCATCTCAACTGATGGTCTCAATCTGGCCTCTTAATAATGATGTCATGCTGATGAAGCTTAAAAAGAATCTCATCCTTGGCTCATCGACGTCATCATCATCATCCAGGAAGAAATACATCCCCTCACTGCCATGACTGACTCGAGCAAATTAATGACAACTTGTACATTAAGGCTCAAGGTGGAAATCCACTAAACCACGCTAAATGTACCTCTGACCTGGAGCTGACAGCTGACCTGGGAGTTAAAACCGCCAGATGACTATGACATACATATGTTCTGAAAAGAATATATGCCTTTAAGTGCATGGCAATTTTAAATGTAAGTGTATGTTGAACATATAGGCAGACAGCTGCAAAATAAATCTGTGCATAATAACTGTGACTTTGATGTCGTCAATAGCTACTTGTTTACAGTGTGTGTGTGTGTGTGTGTGTGTGTGTGTACTTATGATGTCAGACCAGGCAGCTGTAATAGCACTTCAAGGTGTCACTTAGGCTCAAACCTCACAACTTTAAATGTGTCAAGGTAATAATGTTGTGTCTGTATACTGTATATGTGTGAGTGTGTGTCCCTCCTGGCTTTGCTTTGTTGTGATGACAGTCATATGGAAATGAAAACTTGACTGATCTAGGGATATTTGTATATATGACCGTGTAGTTTGTTAAGCTGTATGCAATGAAAAAGAATGAGAAGTAGGAGGTTCTGATGAGCAGAAAAAACAAAGCATTAAGACAAAAGGAGCAACACTGATAATACGATCACATTTTTAAAAAAAGCATTTACTTCTTTAAGGGCTTTCAGCAGCTTGGGCCTCTTGTCCTCCACAGTCTCCCTGGACTGTTGCTTCAGCTTCCTCAGTAGTGCTGTGACTGAAAGGCACAGTGAAACAAAAAGGAGAAGAATGAAGAAGAAAGACAAGTGAGACCAAAAGCATGAACAGTAAAGCGAGCTTTCAGCAGCTTAGGAAAGAAAAGCAATGGCTGAAGAGATTTTTTTATTCCAGAGAAAACTGTTGAACAGTTGAATGGAGAACTGCCATTTGTTTCCCTACTTTAACATCTAAAAGTGAACTTCTTTGATTAACATTTTGCTTTACTGCATCTGATTCTAACACTTTATCCAAGATGAACATTTAGAAATGTCATCAACAACTTTTTTTTTTTCACTGTGTTGCTTGATTTTTGGCAAACTTCTCTACATGACATGCAAGCCAGTCTCCTTAAACCGTGACGAGTTGTCCTGCACACTGACAGAAGCCGCTCCTAACTGATGTTAAAACAATGAGTAAGAATGTTAACATAATGAAAGAAGGCAATGAAAGAGTGTGAGCAGGCAGCACTTCTTATTGCTGGATCATCCTTTATCCACCTAAATCATCCAAAATTTGACAAGAACTTTATTTATTCATATCACAAAAATAAAAAAAATGTAGCTACATGAATTAAGCAGATAAGGGACAGTTCTGATTTTGCCTCTCTTACTCATCATATGGGCTGTGGTTTGAATTTTACAGGAGCACATCTTTTCTGTATGAATCCACTGGAAGTCACCTCCATTATCACAGGAGCAGCCTCATTATGCTAATCCGAGCAACAATGACACATGCTAAAGGCACAGATCACGCAGTTCACAGTAACGACGGCTTTAGGCTCAGAGATGTGCTGACTTCCCAGAGCCAGATGGGACACTCGCGCCTGCATCGCACCAATCTCCGCACGCCGCCTGCAGGGATCAAAACGTACCAGGAAGTTCAAAGGGAACGAGCCAGCCAGATACGGAGCTGCCATCTAATGAGCTGCGCCTTTAACCTCCTTAATGACCTAGGGGAGAGACAAGCTCGCAGCAGAGACTTTAACCATGGCGGGTCACATTAACAAGCATTCAAAGCTCTTTAGCCTATTGGCTGCGAGAAATTGTCATGTTTGTGGAAAAATAGGAGGATTCACACCCAACCAGCAGGCATTTGTTTCATGGCTAGTTGCTGTTGTTTATAGGGGGGAGTGCATTACTCACTGACATAATTGTGCAGCTTTGATAATGCCAGATGGGGATTAAATGATGACATGACTGTGCCACTAATAAACTAATGGAAACAGTAAGAAAAAAAAAGAAAGAAATCTGCTTTCACACCCATTTTATGTGACAAGGAGCTTTGTGGACGTATGCCACCATCATAAGCCTAGCTAGCTCCTGCCGTCCATGCGGTGAGTCAACATACACAAACATGTTCTTCACATTGTCTTACTGCTGCTCCCTATGAGGTAGCACAGGAGGGGGCAGTGATGGTAAAATAAGGCCAAATGAAAGCTCAGGCACGCACACATGGATACACATGACGACACACGCGCCAATTGAGACAGACACAAGTACAGGACCAGGGTGTCTCTGCGGCCCGGCTTAGTAATGAGTGTGGACAAGCTCTGGACGGGGCTCCTCCTGATCCTCGCTGCCTCTCAGTGGGACCAGGAAAAAAAAAAAAACTGCAATCCAACCATCTGGCCACAGACCACCCAGCCAACACAGGCTGAGAGACTGACGCTGATGGCTTTAACGCTAACCCGAACTGGCTCTCCATGCTGGCGCTAACTCACCCAGATACTGATTAGGGCACCGTCCTGGCAGTAATTAGGCGAGTGATCTCAGTAATTTTACCCCTGCACATAAATGAAAAGAGGCAGCTTCAGGACAATTTTGCATCAAAATCACTACCGCGACAACACAGCTTCCATTTGAACAATTCAGGCCTGAGATCTAACTGGAGGTTTGCTGCTGCTGCACAGATCTGAAACCACAAGTATTGATTGACACAGGTATGTAGTGTGGAAATGCACAACAGGCAGCAGCTAGAAGGACATCTGATTATAGTGATGCTTCAACTTAATAGGCCATGGTGAATACATTATCCAAGACATTAAAAAAAAAAAAAAAAAAAAAAAAAAAAAAAAGAGTCAAAACAGTCAAATTAAATGAAGATAACCCACAACGTGTGGAATGCAGTGCTCTTAATATCATTCTAAAATCAATTCTACCAGCTTTTAAAAAGAAAAATACTTAAGGGGGATCTGGTCTCCTCCGACTTCTAGTCACAAACATGGACCACAAATTGTTTTCATGTAACCCTCTCAGTTTTAATGGAAAATGACATCACTCTGCAATGAAAGCTGCAGTATTCGAGTTACAGGCCAGCAACCAACATACAGTGTGACAACAATATAATAACTGACTGAAATGCTGCTGTTCACTGGCTGTACTGTAAAAGCCAATTTCCCATCTTTGATTGTTAGAGAATAACACCTTAATAGGAACAAAGCTTCCTATTATTTTCTAAACACAGCCCAAATAAAACTGTGTTCACAAAACATGAAGAGAGATAATCACTGGTTTTAATGTCACATGACCTCAGGACATGGAGACACAAGATCTCTTCATCGGTTGTGTTTTAAAATGTTTCTTTTATATGTTGTTTGTAATTTTAGAATTAGGCAAGAATCAGCGAAAGCAAGCAAGCTGTTCCCTGACTAATAAACACCAACTCGACTGTGACACCCTTTTAACAAGCTCCTGAAGCTGACAACCCAGCTGTGTGGAGGACAGAAATAGCTCTTAGTGAGCAAAACAAAATGATAAAATCTATTTCTGAGCCACATTTGTGCTTCCTTGTTCAAATGAAAAGCTGTTTGTAACACAGCTCAGGTGACAAATACATTAAATCCCAACACAATATGGGACGACATCAATGGAAATTAGCCCAGAACAGAAGTTAAAAATGACACAGTATTTTTCTTATTCATCTCATTCAACAAAATGTTCGCTTTAAAAAAAAGACAGCTTTATATAAATATATTGCCAAATACTGCAATGCACACTGCTTTAGTTGGATAATGATATATGATTTTTTTTTATTCATTTTCAGCACTTTCCAGGCCTGGACGTTTTGCCTTACAATAACTCAAACAAAGCTCCCATGTTTTGATTACCTCACAGACTTGACTTACACTGACTCAGCTCAAACTGAATATCTAACCAGGCAGGGCTCTGCAGGGTAAAGCCTTTAACATAACTCCACATTTATTGTGCTGAATGGAGGAAACAGTCAGAGTTTCCTTCAGCAACGTTCCTCTTTTATGACATTGAGGTAGCCAGGTTAACGTTTATGGAAGGAACACAAAGTGTTATCTTTCTATAAATTGCAGACTCAGCATGGCCTAGATTAGCTGTCACAAAGGGGCTCTTATCAGTGTTTTAGAGCAACGTTAAAAAAAAAACAAAGAGGGTCAAACAGCAATGACAGTCCCTTTCAGTGATGGAGTTTTTGATTCAGTGAAAAATGGCTGCAGTCCTCTTCCCTCTAACCTTACACTCTTTAAGGTCTCTGAATCACTTTATTGTAAGTGTGCAAATCATTATTTCCTATATATTACAATATTTTAATTTGAGATTTTATGTAATTTCTAATATTGATTTGAACAATATCCAGACACAAGACTGTAGCCAGATTTCTTCCAAGAGGTAAAAAAGTAAGAGGTGTGCTCTTAACTCAAACACAATATGTGTCATGCAGTTGCATCACATGGCGGTCTGTGCAAGCTAGACGTGGTGAGGAGGAACTGACAATTGTACCGAAAAATGGTACTCCATTAGAGGCTAGAGTCAATAGAAACACTTGTAAACCTGCTAAGGTAAGTAAGAGGCATTAGAGAGTTAATTAGAGGAGATGCAGTCAATGGAGATGCTTTAAGCTGCCTCCCTGTATGATTGCTTAGTGTTGGTGCCAAGTGGCTGTGCTAATAAGCCCATACTCTTTCATCCTAACAGCCGAGCAATTAAAGTGAAGTTGAAGATTTTAACATGAGCCTTTCAGCTTCACTGTAGCCGATTTATAAATGTCTCCATGTGACATTGTACTTTGTGCAGGAATAAGGATACACACAACCTAGCAAAATGGGGGCACATATTTCTTAGATCCCTGTTGGTATACATTGGTAGGACTGATATAATAACAGTATTTGTCGGTTAAAGGATCAATTAAGATAATAAACAAATAGTTGTAACATAGTTATAACACTGGCCCTTCTGCCTGCGTGTAGTTTAGTAGCAGTTTAGCTCAACACACTTAGTATCTGTAAAACCTAACATGAGAATATCACTGAAATAAAAATGAGTTCATGTAACAGAAGCTATGTATTTGAGAATATATGCACAATACTTAGACAATATCAACCTATTTGTAATTTAAGTTTGAGCTTTTGTGAACTGTGGGTTGAAAACAAAGCCAGACGGGGGCCTGAACCTAATCAGCCTATGAGGAGAGAGAGAAACATCTAGTGAATTGCCTTTCATAAGAGCACAAAGCCAGAGGGCCTTGAGGAATGTCCCCTCACTCTGAGGCACAAAGGAGGCAGGCCTGCATCATGACCTCGCCTGGACTCAGCAGCGTGGAAGAATGTGCAGAGGCAACAGTTGATTTGCATCTGTTGATCAGAACTTTTCTTCCCTTCATCACAGTTTTGAGAAGAAGAAGAAGAACCCAAACTGACGGACAGCACATCAACTTCATGTTAGTGTGTTACAGCGGTGGTAGTACTGCTGGAGTTTCAGTGAGTCACTTACTCATTTGTCGGTCTCCATAGCTAATGGCCTCGGCAAGAGGGCTCCATCCCTGAGCATTCTTCACCTTCACAGGTGCATTGTGGGCCAGCAGCAGGTGGGCACACTCTGTAAGAGCGACAAGAGGACAATCAGGGGCGAACAACAGCTTTATTTATTTTTTCTCATAACTGAGGCAAACAAGACACAAATGAAAAGTATGCACAAAAAAAAAACAGCAGCACAAACAACACTGGAGAGGAAAGAGAAACATATTTACATAAATATGTGCTTTCCAAACATGACTCAGTCATCCCAATACAAAGGCCTGTTTGTTTTTAGTCTTACGTGCAGATTCGGGGGAAGAAGGGATGGTGCTTGAGCACATTCAAAGTGAAGTTTACCTGCAGTGAACCTGTGTGTGTTGTATAATAAGAACAGCTAATCTGTGGTGTAGTGACAACCAGTGATCTATCTAGTGAGTTTCTTCTCAGACCGCGAGTAACAATCCCAGATGTTCCTTTCTGCTTAGAGGAGGGTTATATACAACTTAAGAGAAAATAGAACACATAATAGCTTTTGAAAGTATTCAGCCATAAGAATGTAAAATATGAACATGCCCAGCTTTACTTGTGGTGCTGAAAAAAAAAACCTATGAGACCGTTGATGCGAGGTCTGCAGTGCATTATTATCATTGCTAACCATGTTATTGAGGACTTGTGGCAGACTTTCCTTCTGCAACAAGAATACAGGTGGGCAGGTGTCTTTTTTTGTAAGAGCGCTTGATTATTGATTGCAAGTGAGCTGTACAGAGAATTCCAAAACATCTGGCACAAGATTCTCCCATTTAAATCCTCCCTTAGGTAAACTGGAGGTGTCTGAGATGATGTGAACTCAAGCAATCGCCCCTTTTGACAAGGGCAAATCCATACTCATGGCCTAAAGTGTGCGACTCCTGAAAAGGAGGAAACTGGTTTTCAATAAAGAGGAATAAATACATTCAACAGAAGATTTGTGTTGTTACCAAAAATGTGTTTTTAAGGGAAAAACTTCAACTCAATACAAATACACGTTTGTATTTCTGATGTCCTGATTCTAAACTTCCACAACCCCATACAAAACGGCCACACATAGAAGAAAAAAATAATTGGCTTCAAACATGCACAGGTGGACAAACCTGTTTAAACACTTAAAGCTTTAAACATCCTATCCCCGGGAGTTCAATAAGTTGGGGACTAATGAGCTCCTACTTGTCATCAACTTTGATGTTGCTATGGTGACAAAACAAGCCCAAGAAACTAATTGTAACTGCATTCCAACACTGTGCCACATTTTCAAGCAATGAACCAACCAGAAGCAAGTGAAGGACACTTTTACTGGTTTTACTTTCTGCTTCCTTTCTCTCCACAAACTCTGCTGCACACCCTCAGTTTTTACTGATCACACTTTTATCACACACTCATCTGACTGGACTTGGAAGTACATTTTGAAACACTTATTGACTGCACTCTGCTGTTTAACATGCGATAATTACTGAAGAAGTTTCCTTCAGCATTTGATCAGAGTTATAAAAACAGTCCTTGTCTTATATGGGGACAGATTGTGTGTTGGATTGAGATGACAGCTGACATTAACTGCAGAGCCATATGAGACCAATGGTTACACAACACTCTCTATCCTACTTCAGGGCCTATACTGCTATAAAAATGAGCGAGGAATCACAGGAGTTACATGTCAAACTAAACAAAAAGACAACCCAGAGAAACTATCCGAGCTGTTCTTTAATTCCAACTGTGGGAAAGCAGCCGAAAAGCTTTATCCCCTTCTCTGTGGCGAGATCAGCAGTGGGTGCAGCACAAAAATGTCTTCACTCGCACCATTTCAACAAACTACAGCCAGCCAAAAATGAAGCCATGGTGTTCCGGCTCGGCTGTCAGTTTTGTCTTGACATCATTCATTATAATGTTGGCATCAGTGCCAGTCGCTGCCTCAGCATTGGACAGTCGCAGACAGTCACAGGCCCTGAAAGCAGCAAAGCACTCAAATGTAAAGCAGAAATGCTAACTGCTGAGTGCATATGAAGGGCGTTCACTTGAGAGCAAAGGAACTTTATTAGAGCTGCCTGTTACACTTCCTTTAACGTCATTTTAATGATCATGTAAGTGGTCAAAAGTCACAAAGAAGCTCTCCGTTCATACACTCTTTCATTGCAATCCTTTGAGTCAACCCTATTAGTCATCAAACTGGTTACAGCCCTCATGTTCAGACTTGTTTCAATGCTAAACATCAGAATGAAAGCTATTAAAGAAATGCCTTAAGTAGTTTACCTACAGAGCCAGAGTGTCACACAGAACCAGTGTCATATAGTCTAAAATACCAAGTCCTCCCCCCCCTTCCTGGATCTGGATCTACATACACTATCTGTTTTATTAATGAGAAAGACACCAGGGTCTCATACATTCTTTATGACAGAGAGGAATACATTTTGAAACTCCTAATTAAACACTGTATCCACACAACAAAGAGGAATACGGCTGTAGCAAGTGTAGGTATACACGAAAAAAAAATAGAGCTTTCAGGCTATATTCTTTACAGAGACAATTAAAAGCAACATGATCCTGGTCATGTACTCTCCAGCTTTCCTGAAGGTGAAAGTGTGGAAAAGGAAAATGAGAAGGAACAAAGACAGGCCGAAGGGAAGTCCTTGTAATCACACGAGGGGAGCAGCTGAGGTTCAAAGACTTCGCTCATGACTCGTCTGAATTTGATTTCTTTTAAACTTCTGCCCAGTTCTCCTCCTGCGTGATCTGCAACTTCAAGTACTGAACTCAGAAATGTGACTTCTTTAGTACGATTGGCAAAAAAAAAAATTGCCCGTATTTCATGCTTTAATTAAATAAGGAAGCAGTGCTGGCTCTAGGAAAAGGGGGATGTAACTGCTAAGTGCTTCACTAAAAGCCTTACATCGGCAGACAAAAAAAAAAAAAAAGAAACAGACCTCACTGTGTTTATGTATTAGTGTGATCCGTGCCTTGTGGATGGAGCTGCTGATAACAGAGGTTGATGTCGAGTGCTATAGCGCTTGCTTTCCGATGTAAGCCTCCCCTCGGGCCTTTGACCTAAATATCAACCTGCTAAATCCAATGATTGTGTAATAATAATGACAACATTCAGCAGATATACATTACATAAGCATGGAGGGAACAGCCAGGCCAAGTGTCCTGTACAGTGAATCTGCTAGCCTGTGGTCGGACCTTAGCCTTTCAGGAGTAGAATGTCCAGCTTTGAGTATTTAAACAATACTGATGAAAATATTGGAATGATTTGAGTCCTCACTGTGTATGGGAAAAGGTATTTTACACGATCCATTTTAAATTCTATAAATCTGTAGTAAAGATGGCCTTGCTTTCTCATTTAACAGTTTGTGTTCTACTAATTAACATCATCTACACTTACATCATGTTAGAAATACCAGTTTAAAGAGAAGAGGCATTATACAAAGGGCCTTTACTTAGGGTTGAATTATTTTTGATTCATCTCCAGACAATTCCATTTGATTGAGAATATCAGGCATCTTTGCTTGAAAATAATTAAAACAATTAATAGATTTTTTAAAATAGTTTCTGGTTGGGGTACCCAACTGGCTCTGGTTGGGAATTGATTCCCTTAACCAGTAGCAGCAGGGACCATACCTTACAAGTCATCTGCCTATTCTGAAATCATTTTCTTTACTTTCATTCAGTACTCACAGATAACAAAAATAAAGTATAACTTCCTCCACAAAAAAATGAAAATCAGTTTTTTGGGTATTTTTATTTTATTTTTAAAGCTCTTTGTCCTACAATACATTTACTTTAATCAAATGTAATTTGTAGTTTTTGTAGTTGTTGCTTCTCTGTACTTTTCGTGTAGGAAGCTGAAAAAGAATAATCAAACTTCAGCTCACTCATTTGAATCGAAAAAGAGAGCCGCCTGGATACATTAACATTTAGCCTATAACTCATTAGCTTGGCTGGCTTTCCAATTCGACCTGGCATGCAGTGGTGAAAGTATTGATAAAAGAACTCTCCCTCTGGGTCTCTGGGTTGATTGCACATGCAGGAGGTGTACAGAGGTGCTGCTCTAGTCACTTACTACTTCAACAGAGGAATGAGAGAGGCAGCGCTGGGATGGAGAAATAAAGTGCTAATCTAATGCTTCACTGCGTGCATTGGCTACAGATGGAGCGCTTGTTAAGAGGCTCTGTGGGTTGTTAAAACCCCGACATCACCACCCATTCTCATCTGGGCTGGGTACATCTGTAAACAGGCTTTTTCACTCACTTCCTTTCCATCGATCACACACACTCAGTGACCGAATCAAACAGGAGTTGAGGAACAACATTGGCACAGTTCCTGAGGTTACTGATGTTGTTTTTTTCTCAAGACAGAATTGTGGTTACTGTGTGCATTATGAGAGTCTAATGTCCACTCTTGCTTTAACTGGTTATTGTTCTATAGGGACAGCCTTTTAAAATTGCACTTTGGCCTATCAGATGAAGACTTTTCCTGTCCTGGGCTGGCTCATAGGCTCCACTGATCACTAGATTTATTCTCTCTTCTCTTGGTGTTACCTTTGCAGCAATGGGAGCTGATATCAAACCTCTGGGGGGGGGGGGGGGGGAAATAGTGTCTTTCCTTTGAGGACACGGCAGGTAAAATTCTTCAGGAGATTACGGTGTCATGTATAGAACTCTGACCGTGGTGTAACTGTTAAATGAGTGGTGAAACCGTATAATTTACTGTATTTCAGGGTTTCATTTCAAGCAGAGGAATTCAGCAGTTGCTTCAAATTATGAGTCATATAAAGAGTATTTAATTAATAGAAAAAGTAACTCATGGTTGGTTGGTTTTATTAACCTGTCTTAGTTTGAAATATATTTGCTTACTTCATAGACTGTTTCTCAAGAATTGACAGACGTATTGACGAAGCCCATTAGGCCTTTTCTTTTATTGAAATGTTTATGTCATTCTTAAATCAAAAAATTGCCAAAAATCCTTTGCTCATAACTTTTACAATACACATTCACCTCTTCTTTTCCTTATATTGTTTTAAGCTCTCTATATTTGGGTTGTGGAGTTTTGGTCGGACAAGGAGAAACATATGAAAAGGTCTGAGATATCTCAAGTCCTAAACAGAGAAAATAACAGATAACAGATTCTTAGTTCACAGAAATAATTTTTAGATTTAGCAGCAGCACAAAAAATGTCCCTGTAATAGCAGTGGACGCTCAGCATGATAGATTTTTCCTCAAAGAAATATTAAGCGTGGATAAAGCATTATGGTTTGATGTGATGTGCTCAGTTGTTACCTTCACAAGAGAGCCGGGGAAGATTAATTTTCTCAAAATAATTCTGCGTAGCAATAACAATACTAATGCTCTCTCCTAAGTATGTAGTCCTGTATGTCATTTGCATTGGCAGAACCCCATTTATAAGACGTGAATTGTGCTGTTACACAGTACTATGTCTTACCTGTACAACAGATTAAATCAAATTAACAGCGTCAAAGATACGGTCATTCGCAGCCTTGTAAATCACACAGACATTCAGCTGTACAGACAACAGCATTGTCCTCTCCATCCCATCAGACCAGCCACACCCTGACTATGATCTCATGCTGTAGCCTTCAGCCTGTCTGGCCTGAGCGTCCCTGGAGGACGGGGAGGCTGCTCAGTCAGGAGATAGGCAACCTCATTAGAACAATCGATTCTATAGCGTCCCATCCGCCACTACACTTGGTCCCTTGCAGTCTGAATTACCAATAGGCAGCAGCGGGGCCTTCACACACACGCGGGTGCGAAGGGAACTGAACTTTGTCAATGTGAAATCAATTGAAACCTGTGCTCGAATGAGAGACACTAAACAAACAGGAACGTGCAGTATAAGTAACCCTATATGCTTTGCTATGAGTCGGCTGCAAAAAACAGGGGGATTAATTTTTCAAAAGCATGTTCTGAAGACTCCGTGTGATATTTAATGTAGGCATCGCTTCACTGAGGGGCAGTGCATTAATATTTGATGCACATGCTTTCAGCTAAAAACAAATCCATGAAACAACTTCTACAAAGCTTTGACATCATGACATACGTAATTAAGATGACAGATTGTTTTGCTAGGATTTGTAAAAACACAACTTGCACCACTTTGATGTTCAAGTTGTTGTTTTTTTTAAATACTCAGTGCTGTATCATTAGTGTGAAACACGCCAAAAGAGAATGCTTTGTGCCATTTCCATCACAAGACACCCCCCCCCTCAACAAAAAATAAATAAATAAATACTATGAATATAAAAGTAACTCTTTAATAAATAACAGCGTAAAAAACAAATATTGTGGAACCTGAAAATTAAATGTCTAATCTCTGCACTAATGATCTCATTTGCCAGATATAAACCCATTGAACCAGAGGTGGAACATTTCTCAGACCGTAGCCGCAGAGGGGATCCTATTTCTTGGAGAATCATCAGTACCTAATCCCCACTAATTAAATCTGTTCCGATAATTTCTATAATTGTATTAAAAAGATTAGTTTTTTCTTGCTCAATCTCAGTTTTCATCATGGCTATAATGCACAAACCAAACCTCTTTATTCATGCAAGAGAATTTTGATGTCTGGGATTCGTGTAGCGGTCTGTGACAAATGTCTAGTAGTGGTGCTTAGCCGGACAAATGCACACACAAAAACAAAAGACATCTAAATGATACACACCCACAAACACACAAAATAAAATAAATTTGAAAACATAAAAACACGTAGAGTCGCAGACAGATTTGTTTAAAATGCAGAGACAGAGAGAGAGAGGAAAATAAAGCACATGGAGGTGAATCTTTGGAAAATGACTCACCTTTGTGCCCCATCATGACAGCCAGATGCAACGGTGTGTTTCCTATAGGAAGAGCAAAAAAAACAATGAGGTCGTGGACTGCATTTGATTTTCACAATAAGAGAGGAGAGTCTGTGACAAGCACTGTCACACTCTGAATCAGTTAGATGGTTAAACTGGGAGGTAGAATCCACTAAATTCAAAATGACATGGTAAGTATTTTTTGTGCTCCAACCGTATCAAGCAATATTATAGTCTATTAACCTTCGGCACCCACTCACCACCCTCCAAAAAGAAGGAATTTAACTGACTGCATTGCATATTCAGAACCATGAAGTAAACACTGAATAGTAAGAAATACATTTAGGGAAAGTAACATTTAAGCCAGGTTTGGATAAACTCAGGTTTTCCTTCCCAGGATGTCAAATGTGCCTCATAAGCTTTTGGAAAATCCCTCAAGAGGAAGCCAACATGCCCTGTCAGCTCCTTCAGGCTTCTCTTCCAGGAGAGGAGTGGTGGGAAGGTATCCAAAGTAAAGAGGTCCTGCCCTGTAGAAGCCCTGATGAGGGTGAAACAACAAACTGGGGATCTGCCAGCAGTTCCACTTTACATTGTGATAAACTACAAAGGTAGGACAGTGGTACAACTGAGACTCCATCAATCCTACCTGCAGGTCAGGTTTCTCTTTCAATTTTTTCCCCCTGAAATTGTGACATATCTGTCTCTGAAACTTTGGCCGTCAACCCAGATTTAGTTGAGGTGAAGTGAATTTTATTTGCTTACTTAAAGTAATTTTCCTTTAAAATATCTGTGTTTGTCTCACTCTGGATAAGCCAGTCCTTGCTCTCAGTGGGTTTTGTTGCGATTCTTTATCCAGTATTAGATATAAAAGGTTCCATAACTTTTAAGAATCTATAACACAAGTATCAGTTTTGATATTAAACTGTTTTAATTCTGTTTAGTTTTTTTTCCAGTGTGAGAACTTTCCGTGTGTTACTGTTAATATCAATGAAATGAAATTAGTTAAACTTACAAGGACAGAGAAGCAACTAAATAACTATATTTAGATTTTATAAATGATTATTATTTCAAAAAATATTTATCTGAAAAATCAATGATACGGCTAGTGGTGGCTTCATGCTCATTTTCTACTGATGGTTTTTGACGTCGATGAAATTCAGGTTTTAGTCCATATCCAGTGGAAGCTTATCAAATGTGCCAATAAACACACAAACTGCTGCTACAGAGACAAACAAACCTTCAACACGCTGAGCAAATCTTTGAAATGACAAAAGTTACATTCCTAATGACACAGCAGGAGGCAGAAGTCCTGTTTGACACCAGGTTTTGTTACACCAGGTTTTACCTGCAGAACAAACCACATTCCAGTGCTGACACTGAGCTCAAGCAGGCTACAGGTCACCTCCTTTTTTTTTTTCTTTTTTTTTGGCACGTGAACCGGAACAAAACAAGTCTGTGCTTTTGTAAAGTTCAGGGGAGGGTTTCTTTAAACACGGTGGTGTTAAGTTATGTTATCTGATCAGACTTTGCACTGCAGGAGAGGTCCTATCAGTCTCCCAACAGAACCCCTGTCTTTTAGACATGGGAAAAACCCAAGATGATCTCCTCCAGGGTGCGTGAGACTAATTCAGATGATGAGGGATCTCAAAGTTGCACAAGAGAGGGGACTGGAGCCTCTGAAAACCGTAATTCTTAGCCACCTGTTTGGTCCTGTTTCCCTGAAGGATCAGATGTGATGACATTTTGGGTTAGGGTTAGTGGTAAGTGGTGGAATCAAACAATTTCTCATTTTGGTATCAGTTACCCAAGGCCTGCAGTGGCAAAGAGAAGCCTCGCCTTTTCCTCATGCTGCTGGAGACTGATGGCCTATTAGCCGACTAAAACTAAGCTTCATCAGACCTTGAAATTGTGGAATCATTATAATGGATTTTGGGGGATGCTGAGAAGCTGACAAACTCACCGTGCACGTCCTTTTGGGTGATATTCTGCGTCCGTATGAGCGATGACAGGCGTCGGACATCTCCTTTAAACACACACTCATGCACCGGAAAGTCCTGCCCGGTCCGGATGATGGGGTTCTTGTTATTGTCATCGATGACTTCTGACGATGACAGCGTGTTGGTGTTGGCGTTAATCTGCGACTGCTGGTTCTGCTGCTGTGTGGATGAAGACTTGATTAACTTGTGATTGCTGAAGATTTTACTCGCTCTGCTCTTGCTGCTCGTCTTGGAGGCGGCGGTGAACGTCCCGGTTGCAGCCTCCTCGTCCGGCTCCAGTAAATCCTCGTCCTTGCTCGGCCTGTGGTCCTTGCGCAGGGAGCGGATCTTCTCTCCGGTCATTATTATTATTATTATTATTATTTTTAAACAGGTGAAGCTGAAGGAGCAGAGGGTGTCGTCTCTGACCCTCCGAGCGACCTGATGCGATGAGCCAGCTGGAAGTCTCCTCGCAATCGCAAACACTGCAAATTGTACAACATGAAAAACACTTGCCCTTTAGCCGTACAGATAATTAAAAAAAAAAAAAAAAAGAAAACGTCGGTTCGAAGACAGACCGGTAGAAGCTCCCGGTTGAACGGTTTACACAGAAAACAAACACTTTGCTCTCCTCCTACCGTCCAAAGCTGTCGTCACTTATTGGTTGCTCTACAACATAAGCGGCTCCAGTTGACTACTAAGGAAGAGTCGACGCTTCCGCTCCGTACTATCGCGAGAGTTCAGGAAAGGTTACTAACAGTCACTTTGCAAGCACTACTCCTACTCACTCTTTTTTTTTTTTTAAATTTTTTAAATTTTTTAAATATTTTTATTGAAGGGTTTTTAACTTAAAACAAAAACAGGCAATGGGGAAAAAAATACAAGGAAAAACTCTAAACATAAATTATTCAGAGGCTATATGTTCCCAACCCTGCATTTTAGAAATTCCTGCCTGTTTATATATGTCTCTAAATACATACATATACACATACATATATATACATGCACTTACTCACATACATATACCCATCCTCACACATACATGAATACACATACTCAAAGTGCACATATACAGTATATACTTACATACACATGTGCCGACCATATACATACATTATTATTATCATAGTCCCCTTTTCTTTTTTCTTCTTTTATTTTTTACTCCTACTCATTCTTATCGAAAACCCATGATGTGAAGTTGCAAAGAGGGGCTAAGTTAAACAATTAAGAAGGCTCATTCATATGAGGAAATTAAATAAAAACAACAACTGTAGTGTTTTTTCTGGTATTTATAAAAGACAGAATTATGTGGTTATCACATATGGGACTACTCGTTTCAGGCTATATCAATTAAGGGGGTTGGGTTTTTGTATTCTGATCATTTGGTTAAATAAAAGTTCCAATATCTACAAGTTTACGCTATAGTAAAAAAAAAGTTGAAGTGTAGTCAGAATTTATCAAGCATCAAAACGTGAAGTGCATGGAAAAAAAAGACAAAAACATTTCTCAATTAAATGTAGGAAATCCAAAGTTTAAAGCATACAAACAAAAATGCTTAACACTGCCTCCACCTGCATGGGTGCAGTGCCTGAAAGGTTGCTTTAGTTTGGTTGATTTACTTTAGTCTCTGTTCATTTTTCATTAAGTTATCCTAAGCACACTAATAACATAAAGTGTTAAAATATGAGTATCTTTCAGAAATCAGACTTTTACTAATGATCATGTTACAAACCCGTCTGTCGTTAATTGGTCCATTATTGTCTTTTTTTTGCTTGCACGTTTCAGCTCCAGCACGACTCTGTACATTAGTGTAGGCTATAGATACAAATAAAAAAATAATTTCTGATTTTCTTCCTCTACATTTAATCTAGGTAGACTGCTTTGTTCTCAACATAAAATAGGTTTCCATTGCACAACAAGTGTTCTATTACAGTGAAACTTTTATATCGAGAGTATTCAGTTTGAGAATTGTACAAGGTCCATGATTTATATTTTATCATAGCCTCTACAACCGTGTAGATTGTCTATCATGTCTTTTCCCTTCGTTCCTCAATATTTGTTCTTATGTGTGAGTTGTCACTTTTAAGTGTTACTGAAGAACACGTTTAGCTGTAGACAAGCCAGGGTAGAACTGAGTTGTAGTGATATCACAGAGTCAGAGTAGGCCCACAGAGCTCGTCCTCCCCCTATGGTACAAGAAAGGAAACACAACTCAAATGTCTGCTTTTGTGAGGATACCGCGAGGAACGATAATGCATGGACTTCAATGTAATATAGGCTCTATCTCAACTAAAACTATTGCGGTGATGAACAATAGTTAAAAGTCAATAATTATTAATATATCTATTAATCAGGTTAACACTATTATTATGTCAGGATTTAGTTCACTCTCAGGGTGGAGCGTCTAACAGTAAATATTGGTTTAGTCCTCTGTTTCCTCCCCTCTAGCTTTTCTTTCTCCGATTAAATTCCCTAGAAGTAGGCCTTGTCTCATCGTCCTCAAATGCATCGCATTCAACAACAACAACAACAACAACAACTGTCTTTCATTTTAAATACTAAATAAAACTGTTATTAACACGCGGTAAGAAGCCTTCCTTGTCCGCCAGGCGGGCTTTTTCTTGTGTGACGCCACCCTAGAGCTATGTCTGGATACACATGTATTAGTACCGATTAGTACCTAGTTTCTGTACATTATAACTTCATTTTTCTGCATTAGAACAATTATATCAGTGTATTTATTAAACTGTAAATTAATATTCTAATAAATAAAGTCTTTATTAATTAAGTAAGTGATGTAAACGTGAATGTATTACCTCCCTGACTCAAACTACAGGAAACGTTACGTCAGTACACGCACAAAGAAAGCAAGCGCCGTCCACTGTCACGTGGTTTGGACGCCCCTGCAGAACCCCTAATCAGCGCCTTCCCCTGCTTGTTGATGAGCGCTGATTGGCTGACGCCGGCACGCACAGCGCAGACCTACGTTAAATGGATTTAACTCTTTACCATGTAGCGGTAATGCATACTCGACACCCTGAGTGCATTTGGGCCACGTCAGTTGGAGGTACCGCACATCATGGAGCAAAATCACAAACAAGACGAACTGAGCGAATTGTACGCCGGCTTCAGCAAGGCTTTTAAATCGTTCGCCACAAAGGCCATTCACGTCGGCCAGGAGCCGGAGCAATGGAAGTCATTGGCTGTTGTGCCGCCGATTTCTCTTTCTACCACGTTCAAGCAGAACGGACCAGGAAACCACGCCGTAAGTAGCACGATATGACTTGGTTACTTAAGGAGAAGGGGCCAAGGAGGGGGCGATCTGGTGGTATGCACGTGCGTAAAGCCCATATGTGGGGTCATGCACGAGGACTTACGTGAGCTTTGACAAGGCTACAGGTGTTTAGATATATTTCAGATGTGAATATAGATTCTCAACACGTTTATTTCGGAGCAGTTTTTCCTCAGACACAGCTTTGGATGGATTTATATCTGTATTTAGATTCTATGAACCCTACTTGGCGAGCCAACATCAAAGCAGCCAAGTGAAATATTAATCACAAAAATTGGCTAGATAGGCTATACATAAAGAAAAAAAGAAATTTGAAACACTTGAAGTCCTGTTAGGTCCTAATGCGATATTACTCGAATAGCAAAACAATTTTCTTTTAGAAAATGTACAAGAACTAAAGTCAAAATCTGAATCTGTAGACAACAATCATGCCAGGTAATGTCCCACGCATGTTCTTTAAGGCTTTGTCGAATCCTTTTTTTGTGTTGTATTAGAGCAAGGTGCTTCATGGGAAGTATCCAGAATGACAATACAGAGGTCTTTTTTTTTTTAATCTATCATGTGTGACACCTGCAAAAAAAAAAAAAAAAGTGTCCCTTACTGCTGTTAAATCTAACCTTGGACTTAAACCAGGCTGGCATGGAGAACTGTGCTGTTATCTTTCGGGTTAAACTGTTTTCAAAAGTTTAGTTTTTCAACTGCAATTTGTCTCTGGCAATAATCAACGCAATAACGGTTAGTCATGAATTGGCTGATGGCTACATCTTACTATGTTCAATGTGCTATTGTAACCACAATCTCACGCAAACAAGTCATAAAATTAATGAGAGCAGATGTCCTTTAGGTTTTCTTGTGTCTGGAACAAATGTACAATCGGTTTAATTGAGGTATGAATGGTCCTTAATGCCTCTCAGATTTTATCTTGAAGCATACTATATGTTCCGCATTAACCACTCAAGTTCATCCTTAATGAACTGAGCCCACTGCTCAAACTGATCCCCTGACCTTGTTTTCTAGTATTCAGTCCCACCGACAATTGCGCAACACTCGCAATATCCTTCTTTTACATTAAAGAAGACCGTTTGAAAAACTCTGAACTCAGAAAACAACAGCTGCTGCTGCTAGAATAAACTTGTTGGACAAGAACAGTAACATTAAGGATTATTTGGCCTTGTTCACCCAGGGAACAGAAAATGGCCATTTGAGCTCCTTTTTGTGTCTGACGCAATAGCTCCTCTGGTTCTTTTATCCCTCTCTGTCTTTCACCGCTGCTTTAGACACAGGTAAGTTTTCACATACCCTGAAAAACCTCTAATGCTATGTTTTATCATTTTAAGAGACAAATGTGTATTTGAACATACATTTAGAAAGAAAATAGTTATTTGCTACATGAATTTAAACCAGAACAGCTATGTAGCTTTGTCCTTGCAGAGAGCTTAAGGAACGGTTTTTCCCACCAGCACAATTACGTTTAATTACTGATTCCTGTAATTTTGGCACTGATGTGTTTTCTTACCCCACAATACAAACAATACAAATTAGTGGTTATCACCGCTGTCAGGGTTATTAACTCATCCTTTAATAGTGGAAAAACTCTGGTGTTGAGTGTCCGTAATAGTGGTAAGCCAGGTGTGTTACGAAAACCTGTTTGGTGATTAAGAAGTTATCACTTGTGTTAGGCAGCGTGTCTGCTAACAGAATGTTTTCTTAAGTTTTTTGGCATCAGTAAGTTATCATTACTGGTTTTGATGACTGATTGTAATGTTTCATTTAGGGGTATGAATACAGCCGGAGTGGAAACCCTACAAGAAACTGTCTAGAGAAGGCTGTAGCAGCTGTGGATGGAGCACGCTATTGTAAGTACAAAAAGACACAAAGTATATATAATCACATTGTTTATAACTGAACAGCTCAACAAGAGAGATTAAAATGTGCAAACTGCAGTGTCTGTGTCCACTGCTGTTAAAATTATTTATGATCTAAAAGTCTTTTGGGTTTTTTTCGCCCCCTGCAGCTCTTGCTGTTGCCTCAGGACTGGCAGCCACCTTGACCATCACACACATGCTGAAGGCTGGTGACAGCATTGTCTGCATGGATGACGTGTATGGAGGTAAGAGAAGCCATTATTATAGGTTTCACTGTGCCATTAGATACCCGATATCTTACCCATTTGGAAGTAGAAGCATATTGTGAGTACTGCCGATTTGCTCAATTGCCAGGCACAAACCGCTTCTTCCAAAAAATTGCCCGGGAATTTGCCTTGGAGGTGTCGTTTGCAGACTTCACAAAGTTAGAGAAGCTGAAGGCTGCTCTGAAGAACAACACCAAAGTAAGTCAAAAGGATGGTGAAAACAGGTAAAGTCCATTTTGTTTTGTTGGTCTAAATCTTGTGGGTGTATACTTCTTGCGTCTCTCTTTTTACAACAGAAATTTTTAATCTAGGATCCATAAACAAAGAAACATCAAAACCTCAATGTTGCATAATGGTTGCATAAGTGACAGTAGTCATTATGAATCAGCTTTTAAGTGATACAGTACCAGTAAATGATCTGCTTGCTACATCTCCTTCCTACGTATTCTGCAAAAACAAAATGACATCATGTCTGTCTCTGGCATAGCTGGTGTGGATTGAGACCCCCACCAACCCCACCATGAAGGTTGTTGACATCCAAGCCTGTTCCGACATGATCCACGAACACAGCAAAGACATAGTGGTGGTCGTGGACAACACCTTCATGTCCCCCTATTTCCAGGTGAGAATGACAGAGCTTCACCCTCATTTGAAGTGGAAGTAGCGTTTAATGGCTTCCTGCTGTTGAATTCCAGCTCATGTGGAAATGAGTCACTGATTAACATGCCTGTGTTTGTCTTGTGTGCTTGTAGCGCCCCTTGGCTTTGGGAGCTGATGTCTGCATGTACTCGGCCACCAAATACATGAACGGTAGGTTGTGAATGTTAAAAAAATAAAAATAAAACAAAAAGGATTGTCAACATAAAGTTTTTCATAATAATTGCAGTTGTTAATTGTTATGCAGATCAACGTTAATCAAACAAGGCAAATAAAAGAAGACGCAAAACACAACCAATCAAGAAAAAAATACAACCATCTATTTTAATACAGTTGTTAAAGGTCAACCAGCACTAGTAATGCCATACATGTACCATAAGGTCAATTATTTGAAAAAGAGAAGAGGTTAATAAGCAGTTATCAAACAGCGAAATCAGCTGCATTATGTTATTTACCCACATTTATCAAAACTAACAACATTTTGAAATCTGATTCTTAACATAAACATCCTTCTCAACATATATCAGTATTAGATCTTTTTTTTTTTTTTGTGGATTTCTTTAATATTATTTGCTTCTTGAGTGGCTTTAATTCTGTGATTTTTATTTATTTATTTACTTTTTGAATCTCAACATTTCTTTACACTTTCTTTTATTTTGAAAGGTCACAGTGATGTGGTCATGGGTCTGATGTCTGTGAATCGGGAAGATCTGTATGACCGTCTGAAGTTTTTGCAGAATGGTGAGTAGAGAGAAAACGGTATATGACTTAATGCCATTCATCGGGTTATGTCATTGACTCTGTGTTGTACTTAACACTAGTACTTAACCAACATGTGTGTTGTGTTGTAAATGTAGTGACTTGTCTGATCCAGTTTTATGAATTCCTGATGTCAGTTAAGATCACGGTTATCATAGTGCACGCACCTCCAGCTCTGCCACACTCTGTATTTGTCGACCCACTGGTTACACTACTACTGGTTACAGCCTGACCTACATTCCCTCATTAAACACCCACATGTGCCTGAGGCCAAAATTAAGATCTTACTTAAAACCTTTTCAGACTGAAGTCTTTGTTTATTCTAGGGTTCTAGATCTAGGGTTTGAAGGTCTTTGTAACCTCTTTTTATCCCCCCCGCCCCAAACCCTGCCTTGGTTCAGCACTTGGCTGTGTCCCGTCCCCCTTTGACTGCTACCTGTGTAACCGAGGACTGAAGACGCTACACCTGCGTATGGAGCGACACTTCAAGAACGGCATGGCTGCGGCTAAGTTCCTGGAGGCCGATCCCCGGGTGGATCGTGTCATCTTCCCAGGTAATGTTTCTACTATGCAGTGTAGGGCTTTAAAAAAAAAAAAAAAAAAACCTAACTATTTAATCTAAAATGTAATGCTAAAATCTTTTACTTAAATTCTATTGAGAGGCATGCATCTCACACACATGGGACAAAATTACACACAAACATACTACTGGGGGTTCGGGCAACTCGGTGGTACTTGGAAAGTGTTCTAGCACCTCTCCAGCCACCAGACAAACTTTCAAGTCTGCACCGAGACTTGAACCAGCGGCCCTCTGGTTCCCAATCCAAGTCCCTACAGACTGAGCCACTGTCGTTAATTAAGTTAGAATACACGAGGTGATCTGAGAACAAAGCTGTTTAATCATCAGCCACTAGACTTCTGTACAAACAGTTTGTGTTTGGTTACAGACGGCTCAAGTCTAACATGATGAAGTTTGAGCAACAGTTTAATCTATTCTTTAATCCTCTCATAAAATGTTGAAAATCATTAACAGCTGCTTGCTCTTTGTTGTTTTTATAAGCAGTCTTATCAGATTTATTAACTTGTGCATTTAATGCTGAGGTCATCATTGCCTCAGGAGACATCTCAAGCTACATGCTACATCTTCACCTGCAGCTGTTTGATGTAGTAAACACTACAGACTAAGACTAAAGAATGCTTTGATACATGCATGCACAGTACATTTGAAATGACAATAAGCAATCCAAATAACTAAGGTGTATTCAAACTGTGTTTAAGCGGGTATACCTCTACTTGTTTGCACTTTAGCAAAGTACAATCATCCTGTTATTCCCACCTGACTGGTTTTATCCTGGTCTCTCCCCCTGATGTAGGCCTGCCCTCCCACCCTCAGCATGATATAATGAAGAGACAGTGCACCGGATGTCCCGGGATGATCACCTTCTACATTAAGGGGGAACTGGAGCATGCATCAGCCTTCCTTAGTAACCTCAAAGTAATTCATTCTTGACATTTTTATCTGGATGATGTGTGAAATTGTAAGAATAAAGGTTCTCGTGCAGAACTGACTGTTTTAGATGCAGACACTGACAGGATAAGTGTGTGAAAAAAACCCTTTGATACAACAGAAACAATGATCCAAATGCAAAGATCTAATGTCCCAGCTCCATGCCATTTCCTGTTGCACATTTTAGTGTTTTCAATCTGTTCAGTAGAAGAATTTATGTCCATGAGTGGAAAGACGATTGAAATATTTGACATAATAACCAATGCAGGGATTACTCTTTTGCAATAGTGGACTCCTAGAATTTGAGTAAAAAAATGAATCGACAATAAAAAAAACAACAACATTTCTTTGAGTAAATATTGTTTAATTATTTCAATTTCGTGCTAATTTTTAACATGATTGAATTAAATCTAGTGGTTAGTGTTGACACAAGAAGACCAGATGTTATTCACCATGTGTTATTAACTAGATTTATATGAAAGTGATCCAGAAAATGCTACAAACAGTATGACCATGGCATGGATTATTTCTGTAGTTGGGTACTTTTTTATCTTGTGTGTTTTTTTTATTTAAGCTAATAATTTATACTAATTGTACACATTAATTATGTTCTACATTTGTTTCACATGCCCTTTTTTTCTGTTTCAGTTGTTTGCAATTGCTGAGAGCCTGGGTGGATATGAAAGTTTAGCAGAACACCCGTAAGTGTCCATGTATTATTTATTGAACCTTAATTTGTTAAACTAAAGTGTTATATTTGGATGTTCTAAGGTACTCCTAATTAATTACAATTATTTATTTTGGTAAGGTACTCTAAATTAAAGTACTATTTTGGTGGAAGAAAATATTGTAAAATAACATTACGTGAAATAATCCATGTACAACTTTGATATGCAAAAAAACCCTCAAATGTAAAGCACCTGTTTTGAGCTGCAATGTGGCAAGGTGGCCACAAGTGGGCAGCAGCGATCAAGATTTTGTTTGTGTGGAAAGATTTCAGTTGAGACTCTTAGTCTCCATTGTGCAGTCAGTGAGTGTTACTTTAACCATTATTACATTAGCTGAACGTGTTTCTGTGTACAGTTCATACAAAGTTTGCCTTATTCATAATTTCAGGGCGATCATGACTCACGCATCAGTTCCGGAAAAAGAGAGGATCGTCCTAGGAATTAGTGACACACTGATCCGGCTCTCTGTTGGACTGGAGGATGAGGCCGACATCATTGAGGACCTGGAACAGGCACTGAATGCTGCTGTGAGTAAAAACCAAATGTGGAGAAAAAGAAAAGACTCTCAAAGCAATAAGTATTTTTCATCAGTTAAAATAAAGTGTTAAAAAAGTGCCCTAAATATGCACTCTAGTTATACTGGCATTTAATATATAACCAGTTTTCTGTCACTCCTTATAAAAGTTATGTGATGTCATTTCTGGAAAGGACATCCAGATGTCACCATGATTTGCTGGTTATAAATTGGAGGATAAATGCACCCATGCCTGTTTGTTCTACTGCAAGTAACCGTTTATAAGTCATCTAAGAGCTGTATGTGTGATCAAAAACCTGCACCTAGGGTAATAGTTAAAAAGAAATCCACTGGTGCATTCACAATTCCAGGGAGTATATTTTGAGGAAGCTTCAGAAAAAATATGCTCCTTGCTTACTCTAAAACAACATTACCTGGCAAAAAAACATTGTACACATTTAACCTGTAAAGTGCAGCAAATGGCACATTATGAAGACAAATCTATTGTGGAGACCAAGTGGGAATTATCTTGGGAACATATAGGGAGAGCCTGACCAGTAAATAGTTGCTGACCAAGATTGGGTATGCAGCAGTTGCAGGATGTGCACTTTTTAGAGGTCTGTGGTGTATTCACTCCTCCCATAAACCTGCATGCTGCTGCTGCATCACCAGATCCACCATGCACTGTGAGATTTCTGTGTCTGTGCTGCAGTCTGTTAAGTCTCTCTCAGGGCCATTCACTGGGGCGTGTTCCTCCATGTTGCACATACTCAGCACATTTCTGAGTTAATGTTATTAAAAATACTTAAGGTAGATTTATTTGCAGCTCGCTATTTTTTCTTGTTATATTTGCTGTGGAAAACCTTCAAAGTATTTCTACTTTGAAGAGTTCATTGCATGGTTTCAGCCTCTCTCACCTCTGTGCACTGTTTCTCTCAGATCTGGCTGTGCTTATCCAGACATCTGTGATTTTATCACTGGCTGGTGTTGGCATCTGAGGTTTTATTAGACCTCCATCTTTCTTTCTGTCCTGGCATGACAACTGAGGTTTTTACCAAATGCAAAATATGTGGATCAAGCTATTGATTTTTCTGGTCAGTGCTGGAGGTTTATAGCGGTGTATTTTTTATTATGCATCGACACATTAAAGAGGGGAAAAAATGAAAGTCATGAATCAGCAAAAATGCAACAGCTCATTTAGAATCAATTTGGCATAAGAGGACCAAAGTTGGCTGAGATTTTATCCCATTAAAACTGTATTTATAGAGCCCAAGTTTGCAGACTTTTGATGAGTCACCACAACTTCCCACCAATCACCTGCTCTACAATCAGCAGAGAATTTCACTTTCCTAAAACCCACGCTGCCACCTTGTGCTGCTTTATCCTGCACAGCAGCATGCACTTCCTCTCTTTGGGATTCAGATAATGTATCGTCTGTAGCAAATGGAAATTAAATGGAGACAAATATCTCCAAGAACGGGCTGTGTGCCTGGGAAGATGCAGCTCTGATGGCTGACTCGTTTAATTGGAAGGGATGGAAGGTCAGATGGGGGCAGACGGCTAAACTTGCTGCTAAGTGACTCATCTGTGGATTAGTTTGTATCTGCTGAAAAATGCTTGGTCTGGGGTGATGTTTTTGTAACATATTTTTATCTAGTGTTGACCTGACTCATGCTGCATGTTGTTGACTGCTACTTATCAGTTCTTTTGTCTTCCATTAGCACCCAAAGGAGGAGTGAGCGGTGGTCACCGTGGCGACCTCCAAGGCTGAAGTTGACTCAGTTGATCAGGAGGATGCTGAGAGGTACACAGAGTCTTAAATCACCGCAGATCAACATTCGGTACCTCAGTTAAGCGCACAAATGGCAGAGATTCACCTTTCAGGGAACAGCTTCTAAAAACAAACAAATTATACTATCTGTGAATAATTGACACAATTATTACATGAGAATCTCTCTCTCACTTTTAATCTTATTTATCTAATGCTGGTTTTGCGTTATGTCTGTATGTGTTTCGTTCGAGTTCAGTTCCATTTGGAAGGCTTTAGTTTGACATTCAGTCCAGACTGATATGAACAGTTCGAGGTTCTTCAGGGTAAACACCAACACTGTATTTGCTGTATCTTTTCACTGTATAAACATGAGCACTTCAGGCTTCCTCCTACACAATGCACAGAACAGTATCCAAATTAAATGTTTTATATATCATTACTGATTGATAAATCTGTATAAGTAACCTCCTTAACATAACTGGCATAGTTGTGCTTCAGAAGACAGCTGTGTTTTTGATGACTATTAATCTGACTAACCAGACTCATAGAGGCAAAGCTAATGTCAACACTGACTGCCTTAAAGTCAGACCTGTATTCTCAAGATAAAATACCTTAGATTAGCTAAAAATGAAGACGATATTGCTTTAAAGTGCTGCAGCAACACAAGCAAATCTACGTACATGGCAGTTTTGTGCAACTAGATTTTCACATGCCATGTGAAGAAGAGGAGAGGAATCACATCCTTCATTTTTAATACTTATCAGGATGTATTTCAGATGAATCGGTTTGAATTTGGTGTGCACTTGACCCTTTTGGATCACTTCTAAGCAAAAACCTTTTTGAAATGCTTTTTATTGTCATGAAGAACAAAAAAATCAAAGGGGATTTCTCACAATACTGCTTGATTTATTTCTTCTTTTTATTAACTTGATTCATAACATTTATGTCGATGACAAAGAAAAATCTTCAAATACTGTTTTTCTGTCAAACAAAATGTTTCACTTGGGCACTCCTCCTTCCTGCTTTTCCCCGTGTAATCCTCCAGCGCTCAGTACACGCTTCATTTGGGCCAGACCACTTAAGATCAATGTCATTATGCAACCTACAAATCCATTAAAAATCTGTTTGCTGTAGATGTCTCTGTGTCTCTTACTTCTCCGAAACGTCACACAAACACAAACGGTGTAATCGTAAGTTCAGCCGCAGTAAACTCAACAAGTCGATATGACACATTCACTTTAGCCTGGGCAGTGCTGTGTCTCCATGCTGGGGTTTAGGCCGATGGATCAAAGGAGTACGTAGCTGTCATAATGATCAAATCATCTCAGGAACATTAAAGACTTGAAGTTTCTCATCTTTAAAGTGTAACTTTTCTGTCTTGCAACCTTCAGACAAAGAGTGGAAGTTTTCCCTCTGAAGAACTGCTGAATCAGCCTTAAAGATTTCTCATAAATTGAATCTACTCTCAAGATTCTGCCACAGCTGATGTATTAACATAGCACCCACAAACAGTGCCTCATTGACATGAAGCCTGGCATGTCTGTATAGATTTGAGTCTAATAGAATCAGATTAAGGGTGAAACGCTCTGCAGTCAAAGTAGAGGTGCTGTTGAGGTGTTTGAAATTCAGCTCTCAACGCTCAGGCTTGATTCTTGTGGTGGGATCACTCAATGTGTGGTTAGATTTTCAGTACATCATCATTCAGTGCAGGTTTGCACTTTACCTCAGCTCCCATCAGTCGGCCTGGGCCTGTTATGAACAAACATGTCTTCATCAGATGCATCTGGATAGAAGACTCTGACACCACAGCTTAAAGGAGGCAAGAGAGGCTATGATATGGCCAACTTGTTTATTACAAATAAGTGTGCTGTCATTAGTTTGAACAATACAAGTCTTCAAGTCTATAAACAGACAGGCTCTTTTGTAGCTCCTGTTATGGGGATTTAATATGTTAGAATGAACAAAACCACCCACATGATTTAACTCTAGGCTGTCTGCACTCCCTCACATCTGAAGACGTAAATCACATTCCCGTGCACAAATATATAGATAAGAACTTTGGAGCCCGACTTCCTGTGTCACCGACTGTGATGCCAAAAATGGCTGTAAGCAGCAAAAACCATTTGAATTATGAGCCTTGTTTCCCAGAAAGACGTGACACCGGCTGTACACATCACATTCATGTTTGTCAGACTGGAGTACAATATAGTGCCAAAAGATACCAAAGAGATGAGGGAGACAAAAGATATAAGAGTGGGGGCTGCAGTGCACATCTGATGAAGTGCTTACTCACTTTTTATTTAAAAGAGCACTTACTTTCCTGTCAAGTTTATTTTCATAGGCACACTTTCAGTAGCAGAATTCAACTGGATGTTTAATACACTGGATAATGGATTCAACTGGAAATAAACAATTTAAGGGTTTAGGGGCTGTCTCTTCCTGAAATCTTCTCGTCATTGTGGGAGATAGAAAGTGACTGCTTACCCACAAAAGATTATGTTTTTCTACATTCAAGGTATTCAATTGTACAGATAAAAAAATAAATAGAATGGAACGTTTTCAAAAGGGTCACTTTTATAACTTTATCAACTTTTTCTTACTCTCAGTCTCCGTGCTGAGCAAAGACAGCTGGGTGCCAGCCATATTTTCTTACCCGGCGTTCATGTGGTGTCAGATAAATAAAAATGTCAAGCCGAAAAATGTCTGTAAAGGCTCTCACAAGTAGCAGAAACAACTGGTAAATGTGGTGCCACTTTTAGGGTAAACAAACCTTAAACATCTCATATTACATTCAAACATGGCCGACTACAGTGAATGTTGACTTGATGGTCAGAAGCTTTTAAATAGTTTACATTTAGCTAATTAATATCAGAGCGTAAGTTCAGAAGGGCTACTCGATTATGTCAAAATTCATAAACACGATTATTTGTATTGATATCAAGATCACGAATATGAACACTTGACTGACTTGATGTCCTGAAAAACAAGCAATCCATGACAATAACTGAAGAGAAAACATACAAACATAAAAACAGTAAATAAATACAGTAAATAAATGAACTGTGTTTTTGAGATAGTGGTGATGTACTCTTAAAGCCAAAATATAACAAACACATTTTTTTACCACAAATGAAAAAAACCTATGGACAAAAGTAGCAGAACACATCATGAATAATCGTCTAAATCATGATTATCTTTTTTTGGTCATCATGGTAGGCCAAACTAAAAAAAAAAAACCTGTATTTAATTTCCCAGCCCTAGCCTTAGGAGAAGTTATGTGCAGCAGTTTCAGATGTTTAATTCTGACAGTGATACTGATCTCATCCACCTCTCCTCAAGAGAGAGTATTAAGAGAAGTAGCATCCTCTTTGCGTCACCATTTTGGACAAAACAAACGTTTAATGCCCACAGAAAAGGATTTACGCAGCAGTAATTAACTAGCAAAAAGATATTGGATGTTTAAAATCTTTTTCAACATTTTTCTTTGTTGTGTGTGTGCCTGTGTGAGTGTGTGTGTGTGTGTCTGTAATGTGTTTTATGTACCTTATAAATCACTGAGGGTAAATGAGAAGATAAATAAACTTGATTGGTAGTTAATCAAACCCCAGCTGTGTTGGTGACTGTTGCAACATTACTGCACAGTGCTGAACCAAATACCCAACATATTGTCCTTTAAATGTTATTCTAATTGATGCATTAGCTGTAAAATTAAAACACATAAACACGTATATTGAATGTGACAGCCAAATGAACCAAACAGAAAAATGACCACGGTGTTGCTGACCTTCAGGGTGATACACTTCATTTACAGCGTCATGTTATGAAGCCCAGATGTAATGGCCGTCCACATTTATGGTCCTTTTGTAGCATGTCGGCCACCGTTTGTTCCTTATGAATGGTCCTGAAAGTTAGTCCTGCAGGCTCCTATACTTAGAAGATATAAACACTGGGTTTATGCCACACTTGATGTAGTTTCTAGGACAGTGAAATTTGACATACTTTTCACAGAATCCTCTTGAAGTTGTTTCAAGAAAATATGTTATTAAAAAATGATCCAGTCACTGACTCGCCACTCCAAGGGAAGCTTGGTCCACTTTGCAAAGGTTGTTTCTATTTTTCAGGGTTGAAACCTTAAAGAGGCCTGACTGAGCTCCTATCAACAGATCCAGGTGAACAGAAAACAGTAATTGAATGTCTGATGAGTTCATTCTTTTCCAGCCACCTTGTGACAGAGACAGAAATAACATAATTAGTCCTGGATTGATTTCAAATGATGTCAATAATGCTGCTGTTCCGGGAAAACTAGAAATGGCAGCAACAGCAGCAGTTGCTCACCTCAAAAATTGAGTGTTTTTTTTTTTACCAAGCCTTACCCACAGCTGAATTGCAACAAACAGAAAAAAAAATCATTTTGGTATTTCAGTACATGTTGTACACTAAACCCTGCAGCCATTAAATATAATGATGTTGAAGCTTTGAGAGGGAAAACCATGAAAGCACCCTCAGGACAATCAGACAGTGTCATCAGATGTACTCATCAAATGTCTGAAATAAATGTTTTCATGCAAAACAGAAAAAAATATATACTTGTTATATATATGTGGCACCATTTGGTCTTTAAAATGTTATCTTCAAAAATAAAATTCAATAAATACAGACTCCTTGGAAACTGATAAACTTGGTATATATTTGCTTAAAAGGGGTGACAGGTACAGTACCTGCGTTCCCCTTCTTATGAACGGCCTTTCATTGTCTATGTCTTCCCCAGTGTACATCGATCCTGGCAGCAGTGCAGCACTGTGGCTTTGAAATTTGAAAGGTCATGAGCAACGCTAGAAGGAGAAAGGTCTGCGAAGACAATGACAGGGAGCTTATGTACGCGCCATTTAGTGGACCCTATCAATAATAAGTACAAGGTTTATGAGGTAGGGAAATGTGTGGTCATATAGCAGAAGCAGACAACTCAAGGGAAGGTTTCAAATGTTTTTACACATATTGAAATACATACTTCCATTAAACACTATGTATACAGCATACAAAGTTCCATCACCTATCTGTTTTTGTATTTGTGAGTGTGCCAGTCAGACTTAGCATATTATTGAGGAAGTATTTTGACAAAATAAATTAGCCTCTAGATGTGGATAGAACACATTTTTTAAGGAAATACAAAGTAGACATACAACTCGGTCAAGACCAGCAAATAAAAGCAAAAGTACTCTGATCTGAAATACAGACAAGGACAGGCTGGACTACATATGCAAGTTTTATGTACTGTACGTAGATGGATGTAGTAAGCCAATAGAGAGAGATAGTGCAAGTAAAATGATGTTTTAAATACCATACATTGCTGATGTGACAGTGAAAGGATATCATGCTACAGCACATAATTAGTTTTTACATGATAGCATAAAGTACAGAAAAAAACCCATCACATCTCTTCAGCTTTGAGCTACTCCACAAAACAATACGTGATAAGAAAGTAATTCAACAATACAAACAAAACTGCACTTGAAGTAACTAAACATTCGGCTGACCATGCATTATGAAACTCTGAGATAAGCCATGCAGGAACACCATGGCATAAAACATAGCATCGAAACAGAAGGGAAAAATATCACAAATCTCCATTTCCAGCTTTTGAGTCCCACAACCATAAAAGACCAACTTAACAAAAAAATGGTGAACTTCTCAAGTAGGACAAGGAAGGATGAATGTCATTTTTTGTTTGCATGCTCACCCATGAACATACTATTATGATGTTTAAATACATGTTTTGCTTTAATGCCTTGTGCTTCTGCATGTGCACACTTCGTGAAGGTAGCACAGCAGTATATCTGAGGAGGGCTTTGCAGCTCAGGTCATGTCACACTGAGGTCAATACATATGCATGTTCTTCTTTACTTGGGGCTAAAATTTGTACCAGCACAGCACCACATGCTGAATACATGCACGGCGATAAATGAAGCAGAAAATTGCCTCTTGCTCCTCATTATTACCATCTGTCTCCTGAGATCTACTGAATCTGTCCTTTTTTGTCAGGGAACCATTAACACTCCGTATATGTTTCTCTGCAGGAACAAGGTCCAACAGGCCTCCATCAGATTAGAGAGGAGAATAACTCCTGTGCAAGAAA